ATCTTAGGAAATATTCATCCGATTCTTGAGCGGAATACCTTAAACGATTTGTGGATCGATTCTTCATAAATCTGCATCAAAATCTGGGAACAAAATATTTTTAAGATTTTGTCAAATTTTCTGGGCTGTCCCCTTCAAAATGTGCAAAATGCATGGGGAGCCCCAAATGACCCACTGCGTAGGCCATATCTTAGGAAATATTCATCCGATTCTTGAGCGGAATACTTTAAACGATTTGTGGATCGATTTTCCATAAATCTGCATCAAAATCTGGGAACAAAATATTTTTAAGATTTTTTGTCAAGTTTTCTGGGCTGTCCCCTTCAAAATGTGCAGAATGCATGGGGAGCTCCATATGAGCCACTGCGAAGGCCATATCTTAGGAAATATTCGTCCGATTCTTGAACGGAATACCTTAAACGATTTGTGGATCGATTCTTCATAAATCTGCATCAAAATCTGGGAACAAAATATTTTTAAGATTTTGTCAAATTTTCTGGGCTGTCCCCTTCAAAATGTGCAAAATGCATGGGGAGCCCCAAATGACCCACTGCGTAGGCCATATCTTAGGAAATATTCATCCGATTCTTGAGCGGAATACCTTAAACGATTTGTGGATCGATTCTTCATAAATCTGCATCAAAATCTGGGAACAAAATATTTTTAAGAATTTTTGGCAAATTTTCTGGGCTGTCCCCTTCAAAATGTGCAGAATGCATGGGGAGCCCCATATGACCCACTGCGAAGGCCATATCTTAGGAAATATTCACCCGATTCTTGAACGGAATACCTTAAACGATTTGTGGATCGATTTTCCATAAATCTACATCAAAATCTGGGAACAACATATTTTTAAGATTTTTTGTCAAATTTTCTGGGCTGTCCCTTCAAAATGTGCAGAATGCATTGGGAGCTCCATATGAGCCACTGCGAAGGCCATATCTTAGGAAATATTCATCCGATTCTTGAACGGAATACCTTAAACGATTTGTGGATCGATTCTTCATAAATCTACATCAAAATCTGGGAACAAAATATTTTTAAGATTTTTTGTCAAATTTCCTGGGCTGTCCCTTCAAAATGTGCAGAATGCATGGGGAGCCCCATATGACCCACTGCGAAGGCCATATCTTAGGAAATATTCGTCCGATTCTTGAACGGAATACCTTAAACGATTTGTGGATCGATTCTTCATAAATCTGCATCAAAATCTGGGAACAAAATATTTTTAAGATTTTTCGTCAAATTTTCTGGGCTGTCCCTTCAAAATGTTCAGAATGCATGGGGAGCTCCATATGAGCCACTGCGAAGGCCATATCTTAGGAAATATTCATCCGATTCTTGAACGGAATACCTTAAACGATTTGTGGATCGATTCTTCATAAATCTGCATAAAAATATGGGAACAAAATATTTTTAAGATTTTTTATCAAGTTTTCTGGGCTGTCCCGTTCAAAACGTGCAGAATGCATGGGGAGCCCCATATGACCCACTGCGAAGGCCATATCTTAGGAAATATTCATCCGATTCTTAAGCGGAATACTTTAAACGATTTGTGGATCGATTTTTCATAAATCTGCATCAAAATCTGGGAACAAAATATTTTTAAGATTTTTCGTCAAATTTTCTGGGCTGTCCCTTCAAAATGTGCAAAATGCATGGGGAGCTCCATATGAGCCACTGCGAAGGCCATATCTTAGGAAATATTCATCCGATTCTTGAACGGAATACCTTAAACGATTTGTGGATCGATTCTTCATAAATCTGCATAAAAATATGGGAACAAAATATTTTTAAGATTTTTCGTCAAATTTTCTGGGCTGTCCCTTCAAAATGTGCAGAATGCATGGGGAGCTCCATATGAGCCACTGCGAAGGCCATATCTTAGGAAATATTCATCCGATTCTTGAACGGAATACCTTAAACGATTTGTGGATCGATTCTTCATAAATCTACATCAAAATCTGGGAACAAAATATTTTTAAGATTTTTTGGCAAATTTTCTGGGCTGTCCCCTTCAAATTGTGCAGAATGCATGGGGAGCTCCATATGAGCCACTGCGAAGGCCATATCTTAGGAAATATTCATCCGATTCTTGAACGGAATACCTTAAACGATTTGTGGATCGATTCTTCATAAATCTACATCAAAATCTGGGAACAAAATATTTTTAAGATTTTTTGTCAAATTTCCTGGGCTGTCCCTTCAAAATGTGCAGAATGCATGGGGAGCCCCATATGACCCACTGCGAAGGCCATATCTTAGGAAATATTCGTCCGATTCTTGAACGGAATACCTTAAACGATTTGTGGATCGATTCTTCATAAATCTGCATCAAAATCTGGGAACAAAATATTTTTAAGATTTTTTGTCAAATTTCCTGGGCTGTCCCTTCAAAATGTGCAGAATGCATGGGGAGCCCCATATGACCCACTGCGAAGGCCATATCTTAGGAAATATTCATCCGATTCTTAAGCGGAATACTTTAAACGATTTGTGGATCGATTTTTCATAAATCTGCATCAAAATCTGGGAACAAAATATTTTTAAGATTTTTTGTCAAATTTTCTGGGCTGTCCCCTTCAAAATGTGCAAAATGCATGGGGAGCCCCAAATGACCCACTGCGTAGGCCATATCTTAGGAAATATTCATCCGATTCTTGAGCGGAATACCTTAAACGATTTGTGGATCGATTTTCCATAAATCTACATCAAAATCTGGGAACAACATATTTTTAAGATCTTTTGTCAAATTTTCTGGGCTGTCCCCTTCAAAATGTGCAAAATGCATGGGGAGCCCCAAATGACCCACTGCGTAGGCCATATCTTAGGAAATATTCATCCGATTCTTGAGCGGAATACTTTAAACGATTTGTGGATCGATTTTCCATAAATCTGCATCAAAATCTGGGAACAAAATATTTTCAAGATTTTTTGTCAAATTTCCTGGGCTGTCCCTTCAAAATGTGCAGAATGCATGGGGAGCTCCATATGAGCCACTGCGAAGGCCATATCTTAGGAAATATTCATCCGATTCTTAAGCGGAATACTTTAAACGATTTGTGGATCGATTTTTCATAAATCTGCATCAAAATCTGGGAACAAAATATTTTTAAGATTTTTTGTCAAATTTTCTGGGCTGTCCCCTTCAAAATGTGCAAAATGCATGGGGAGCCCCAAATGACCCACTGCGTAGGCCATATCTTAGGAAATATTCATCCGATTCTTGAGCGGAATACCTTAAACGATTTGTGGATCGATTTTCCATAAATCTACATCAAAATCTGGGAACAACATATATTTAAGATCTTTTGTCAAATTTTCTGGGCTGTCCCCTTCAAAATGTGCAAAATGCATGGGGAGCCCCAAATGACCCACTGCGTAGGCCATATCTTAGGAAATATTCATCCGATTCTTGAGCGGAATACTTTAAACGATTTGTGGATCGATTTTCCATAAATCTGCATCAAAATCTGGGAACAAAATATTTTTAAGATTTTTTGTCAAGTTTTCTGGGCTGTCCCCTTCAAAATGTGCAGAATGCATGGGGAGCCCCATATGACCTACTGCGAAGGCCATATCTTAGGAAATATTCGTCCGATTCTTGAACGGAATACCTTAAACGATTTGTGGATCGATTCTTCATAAATCTGCATCAAAATATGGAACAAAATATTTTTAAGATTACAATTTAGTACAATTTTGGTCAAAAGTGTGCAACGCAGTAAAGGAGACATCTCCGACCTTATGAAGTATATACATATATTCTCGTTCAGGATCAACTCCAGAGTTAATATAAGCATGCCCGTCTGTACCGTTCGTCAGTGGGCTGCCAATGTGGCAAGTTCCACGTGAACTTCTGTGGATGCAACGCTGAGACCGGTCAGAATCTCCGATCATCTCCGCAGCGCAGCAAAATCAAAGAGCGCTTGGATGCTGTGTACGATGACTCTTCTCCTTCGATGGCGACCCTCAAAAATTAATTCGCAATTGGTTTAAGCGCAATCCGATCGAGTTTCTGCGTTGTTTCGTGTTTCGTTCATGGATCCACTGGTACACACCAGAGACCAAGGAACACTCGAAACAGTGGACTTCACCTGGCTAACCTGCTCCGGAAAGGTAATGGTCACCGTTTTTTTGGGATTCACAACTTGTGATCTTCATCGACTACCTGGAGAAGGGCAAAACGGCCACAGGGCTGTACTATGCCCAAATATTGGGCCGATTCGCCCCCGAATTGGAAAAAATACAGCGCCATTTGGATAAGAAAAATGTGCTCTTCCATTATGACAACGCACCGAATTAGGTAACGAACTGCTACCCCATCCACCATATTCTCAGAATTTGGCTCCGTGTGACTTCTTTTTGTTTCCAAACTTGAAAAGTCAGTCGCTAGACAGAAATTGGCGTCGAATGAGAAGGTCGTCGCCGCCACAGAGGCCTATTTTGCAGACCTCAAGAAAACGTATCTTTCAGAGGGGTTAAGAAGTCGGAGCATCGCTGGGACAAGTGTTTTGGGCTAAAAGGATTATTATGTTGAGAAATAATTCCCCACTTTCCCAAAATTTTCGTTTTTCTTTTGGAGGCTAAGTACGTTTTGCAGGGGGTTTTATTCTTACTTTTTAAAATCAAGATTAAATGACTTCAGACATTAGCCATTCTACCAGAACTCATTTAGTTCAAATCTAATTCGCGCGATTAGGGTATTTAGGATAATCAGAGCATTAAATCAGTTTTTTTTCTACAATTCGATATAGTACCGACAAACACAATACTATAGCGCCTTAAAAAAAATGGACACATCATTAAATCCCATTAACGCCGACAACTTCAGCACCATTTATTATCATTGCTCGAAATCTTCAATTTTTCGGTTTTATAGCTCTGCAGAGGGAATTATAATTTTGGTCAATAGTATATATATTCCGAGGGAGTATAAAAGCAGTATTAATAATATAAAGCAGGCTTCGATTTAAATTTTAAAACTCCGCCTCGTGTAGACTCCGCCTTTACATGCTTCTCATACAATCCCAAAAAATCCTTCTATTAAAATCGTAACAAGTAAGCGTCAAACATAATATTTTATATTTAAATATTTATTTCCTCGATAACCGCTTCACAGGTGAAGAGAGTGATGGCTGAAGGACGTTCGTTGAAGAAATTACCTGTGGTCTGTATCGGGATCTCAAAGAACGGCAACGGGCAGTTGGAGGATCTTAAAGACCTTAAGATAGTGTGCTCCAAGATACCTGCGTCTGGGAAGCAAAAAAAAAAGAAGATACGGCATTTTATACGCATGGCGGAGCAAGGGAACTCCAACTATGTAATACTGATAGATGGTTCATACAGTTATTCGGTAATAAGCATCGATCGTAGACTTTTCAACCTATGTGATAACCATGACAAAATGAAGATGGCCCTGGGTATTATGGAACCACTTTCACAGCCGTCTGCTTGGCGAAAATTCAAAGACAAAGCCATTATTTGGCTGTTCTACTGTCAAGTATTCTCAATAGTTTTTCCAAAATTTTTATACATACTTTCTAAAATCTATCATGCTATTTATTAACTATTTTAAGAGAGAGCTTGATTATGTGTATGCTGTTATGCGTTTAAAAATTAAATGATGTTTCAATTTGTTTAATCTTTTTGGAAATTTTGTTACCCCCTGAGTTGTTACAACCATCTCGGCTTATCGGTTTCTTCGCAAAATAGTCTCTCAGTTTTAACGCTGTTGACTTGAAACTTTACACACACCTTTTGACAGGAACTTTCTATCAAATTTATTTTATATATGTAAATATTAGTTATGTTTTAAAGAACAAACATGCTTACAGTTTAATGGAATTATAAAAGAAATAAACAATAATAATTTCTTGTTTTTATAAATAAAAAATTTTAACATTTAAAAATCATTTTATTGATCAACTAAATGAAGTGGATTATAGTGGCGCATAGTTGGATTGGCAATAATATAGTATATATAAAATATATATTAACCATATTGAACTCGTTTTTTATTAAAAACACTAGCAGTACCCTGCCACGTTTCGCTGTGGCATATTGTTGTTGCACGCATAAAAAATAAGTCAAACAAAAAAGAATAATTTTCAAATTAATTAAATTCTGTAATACTTGTGGGTATACAATATTCTTTGTTTCTCCTCCTTAATCATTCATTATTATTTCTGTATTTTAGTACATAGGTTGCTCTTCACTTAAGCACCTTGTGATACACGACATTTTTGTTTTATTATCAGGCGCAAAAACAAACAACGCAGATGGTCTTCCGACCCGTGAACATGCCACGTATAATTGACCATGGGAAAAACATGAATGTTCTAGATTTAAACCACAAACTTTTAAGGATTGGCCTTGTGATTTGTTGATTGTCATGGCAAATGCAAGACGTATCGGAAATTGAAGTCTTTTAAATTCAAACGGCATATCGGTTGGGATCATCGGGATCCTCGGAATGAGAACTTCCTCACCTTTGAATTTTCTTATCATTATCGTAGCGTAAATTACATTGTTCATCAATTTACTAACCACCAAACGCGTACCGTTGCACAGTTTTGGTTGGTTTATGTTTCGAAGCATGATTACTACGGAGCCAACCTTTAGGCGTAAATTGTGCGGTGGTAAGCCAGGCACGTCCAAAGAGTTTAAAAATTCAATTGGATAGTTGGTGGCTTCATCTTCATTTGTGACGCAGTCAATAGATTTGAATGAATGCATTGTTCCAATGATCTTATTTTGAATTATGTAGTTCAGGTCATCTACATCTTTATTCTTAGCCGCTAAAATTGCTCGCTCACTCAACCATTCATTATTTTTGTAGTTAGAAATAATATTTGGAAATACATTGTTGATAAGTTCGTCTTTTGATGAGACAAAATTACAAAAATTATTTGGAAATGATATTAATCCGCTCGATTCATCGACAGGTACTTGACCATTACCGATAGTCAGCAATTGCTCCGAGAAATCTTCAGCAGATGTATCATTAAGCAATGTAACTCTCATGTTTGTTATCAGCTGCAGTTTCTTCACATAGCGCCATAGATTTGACGATTTGAGGCAAGCGTTTATTTCGTCGGCAGCCGCAGATCTTGGAATTACTGGCAACTTCACTTTATCATTAACGCAGCATAATCCAGGCGTTTCTCCGGAAAACTTTAATGCACCACAATACTCGCAAACAACGTCCATTTGCCCAATGCAAACGCTAGGATGCAAGCTGTAATCATTGCTGCAATCGTATCGAAACGCAGCTCGATTCAAATCAGCTAAAATTTTTCGTCGCAAATTAAAATCTATTTGAGAAGCACGAAGTCGAGCCTTACTATTGCGGCTCTGTTCACGTGCAATTTCTCGTTCTTCTTCAGTCCTTTCATATGCAGTATTTTGTATTCTTCTTGCATTACGGCTTTGTCGGGAAAGATTCGATCGTCTTGGTCGCGGCATTATTAATTAAACTTCACTTCACTTCAATCCACTTGTTAATTATTTATTTAATAGAAATAGTTTTAATATTGATTTCTTACAAATATCAATAGAGAGTGCAGAGGCTCTAGTGGTGCTTCAAGTTGAGGCAATTTCACTTTCCCGGAAGCGCAACACAATCTTTTTGGTTCGTTGTTAAATTTGAGAGCCTGACTATGAATTTGACTTCGTTTGTAACTGACATTTTGACATTTGACATTTTCTTCTTAGCTGTCTGCCTAAATAAAAAAGTATGGGCCAGGGAGGAACGCTGTCGAACGGGACAAAAAGTATCCTATGTCCTTCTCCTGGCTCTAAGCTACCTCCCTACCAATTTTCACTCAAATCTGTTCTTCCGTTCTTGATTTATAAGTGTTGTAACATAAAACACGTTGTTCTTTTATATATATAGATATTTATGTATGTATATTTCCACATAATATTCCCCTGTAATATGAAATGATGTAATTCCATATTAATATTTTTACTAAATAATTAATGAAAAACGTATTAAAAGTCAACCCCAATTTTCGCGAAAATTTAAAATCAAATTAAAATATGATAAGCTCGTTTAATTAATTCCTTTGAGGCTTGCGGCAGTTGCCATTAATTTCATTTTTGTTTTTCGCTGTGCAGCATTAAGCGGCATTCCGGATTATTGGACACCCCCTTAATTTAAGGGGGCAGCTGCTACCATAGTCGCCGCCAACACCCACGAGATTGTCTCGATTGGCAATTGAAATTTGATTCATGACACCAGAAAGAGTGGCCAATAAAGATTTTATATTCATTTTGATTTGATTGTGATTTTGGTTTTTCGATATGGATTTTAATGTTGTCGCTGACTCGGCTTGACATACAGATACAGATACTGGTACATAGAAACATATATGTACATTTTCTGTTTTATGCATCCTTTGCATCCTGAGAGTCAGACGAGTCCAACTCATCGGTTCATTTTCATTTCCAGGCCACTGAGTCCGTTGCCAATTCCGAGACCCAATTCGATTAAAAACTTTAATGAAAACTTTCGAAAGCTGGTGAGTCACGGATAGAATTGTGGAAAAACAAACCAATAAAAATGCCTTTGACCCTTCGCTTTAGTTGCTCTCATTGCGGCTCCACTGTACCGACTGACCTGGCCCTGGGCAGTTGCCGAGAAATATTTATTATATTGTAAATATAATAAAATAGAGGGGCAGCGACAGTGGCAGTGGCAATGGCAAAGGCAAGGGCAAAGGCCTTTGTGCGCATTGTTGGCAAAATCAAAGTCGACATCCCCCCAGGGCGCACTTTCTTCCCCACTTTCACCACCAGAAGGTATTTCACTCCCTCACTGGGCTCTAGCTATTTTTTTGTTTAGCTCTGATATTGATACCCGGTACTTGAAGAGGTCAAGGGTATATTGTAATTGTGTAATGATTGGCTTGTGGTTTCGTCTGTTTATATAAGCGTTCTAATCTCAGTGGCTCTATGACTAGGTGGGTATGTTGGAGGTTTCCTAGTGAACATACTATCGATAGTCTATTTGTTGACATGATAGGCCCTCGAAGTTTACAATTATTGGGTTCAAGTACAGGATATTACTGGACTCGTATACCAGTTGGTTGTTCCAGTTTCTGTTCGTCTTAAAGTATTGTTTGCAACTGAGGGCTAGTAGTACTACCTTCGAATATAGAACCGGGTATTTTATAGAACGCTTCCTAAAGACACTTTCTCCTAGGTTCGAGTACCGGTTAACACTACAGATTTCTTTATTAAGTTGTGGCTAAAATTGTTTAGTATAAGTACAGGTTGATACCTGTGATATTGTTAATATGATATTAAAGAATCTTCTGACAATCGAATATCCTAAACCTCAGAGGGCTACAATATAAAGATTGTGGGATAAATAAATATCATATATGTACATAAGTACAAGTACCAGGTATCACATACTCCAAACCTCCGACTATATCCATTTCTCTGGGCAATTTTTTTTATGTGGCATGTGGCATCATTGGGCCGTACATGCTGAAATTGATATGTCATTGTGCGGATTTGCAGGGGATTTTCGAAATTAATTGCGCTTAGAGTGCAGCATGTGTGTGAAATGTGAGGTGACAGGATTGGATGGCTCTCTTTAACGGCAGTTTTGCCGCATTTTTGTGGCAGATTTTAAGGCCGAGCCCAAATTCCAAGCTGAAAAGCACAAACTAAAGGGGATCCCAGCCAACAACAACCCCATATATCCCATGAGTGAGTAAGCGAGTGCGGTTCTCATTAAGAATTCAATAAATTTATAAAAAATATTTCCAAAAGAATGCTGTTCTCGTTATTTTGGCCGCAGGCCGTGGCCAGTTGTGGGTAATAAACGAAAATAAATTGCTAACCAGCCCACGCATTTAAGTTTTATCCTTAAAACCACGCCAGAGAATGCCAAACAGAAAAACTGTGTTCAACAAAAATATTGAAACTGATGAAAGTTTTGCCCAAAAACAAAAACGGACTCTGAAATGCCAATGGGAAAATATGGACATGATTTTTCGTTCGGCAGACAGTGTTGATGATTTTGACCCAAAACACTGATGATGTTGACGATTGTGGTGCCAATACTGATGGAGCCATGAGCCTGATGTTGATTTATCGCCAGGACCCAGGAATCAGGACACAAAGCAATCGCTGGACCATGACAAATGCCCAAATGCCCAAAAGTGGCCGAGTCGACAGTTTCCGGGTTGCCCAGCTGCACACTGCTCTAGAGTTATTCAAAACTGTCTTAAAACACAGCCAACAAATTTTCCAAAATAATTAATAATAATTATAGCTTCAGCTTATAAACGCAACTAAAACTGCGACAAGTTTTATATTTGCATGAACCGGTCCGATTTAGATTTAGAACTTGGACTCGTATGGTATCCGCGTCGATCAAGTTTGTGTCAAAACTTAGCCACGCCCACTCCCGCCCCCAAAACAGCAATCTGCTTGTAGCGCCAGTTCGATAATGTTTGTGGAACATTTTAACTAATCTACACCTACAAATCAAAAGTCAGCCAAATCGGATAATTTTTAAAGGAGTTATAGAGTTTTCTTCCTTCTCCCTCCTTGCCTTTACATGCAGTATATAAGCTGGAATCGGCCGACTATATCCTATAGCTGAACAATATCCTATAGCCATATAAAAATCGGAAATGACCCAACTTTAGTGTTTCTGAAAGTTGGAACCATTGGGCTCCAGATATCCTGCGTAACGTTTTAGCTTGGATAATTATAATCCTGTCCAAATTAGATTTTGCTGCTATACTTGCAGCTCATAACGCCATGAGGGAAGAATTACCGCTTTGTATATTAAAACGTAGGGATAACTTGTTCATACTATTAAAAAGCCATCTTATTTTCGTAAGCTTTGTATTAGTGGCCATTGTTATTTAGCCGCTTGTCTAAATAAGCCCCTATGTACTTGTAACCTGCTACATGGGGCAGTTCTTGGCCATGAAGAAATCCCCCAGCACATTTGCTGGGATTAATACCAATGTTCCAATTTTTGGGCCCATTCTTCGAATCTATGAAGATATTCTTGCAGCGGAAAAATTCTGGAAAAATTTCCGTTATTAAATTCTGCTTATTATATCTTATATCTTATATTATTTCTATTTTGTTGTACATGCTTAGTTGATAAGATCAATAAATCATCGGATTAGGAACAATGAATCTACATAAGCTTGAGGTCGATGGTATCGAAATTAGTCCATTATTAAGAACGGCTCCCTCAAGACCGTGAAAGCATGCATTATACAACTTACGAACACATTTATTATAGATTTTAAAATAGAACATTATTTTGGTCAAAAAATACAAATTAACATGTAAATGAAAAGGTAGGCCAGACAACAAACAAATAAAAATGAAAATAACTTGATGTATGTTTCGTCTGCAACTTTCTCTCGTTCTGACCCCTGGGTGGACTTCAGTACCTCAACCAATGCCTCTGATGCCTCTACATCAAGATCGCTCATCTCCAACGATTGACCACTCTCCGAATCCGCTAAGGGAATCTCCTCTGGTTCAGAGTCCGGTTGATGATTCCCTAAGGATGATGTCTCTACATCAAGATCGCTCATCTCCAACGATTGACCACTCTCCGAATTCGCTAAGGAAATCTCCTCTGGTTCAGAGTCCGGTTGATGATTCCCTAAGGATGATGATTCTACATCAAGATCGCTCATCTCCAACGATTGACCACTCTCCGAATTCGCTAAGGGAATCTCCTCTGGTTCAGAGTCCGGTTGATGATTCCCTAAGGATGATGCCTCTACATCAAGATCGCTCATCTCCAACGATTCACCACTCTCCGACTTCGCTAAGGGAATCTCCTCTGGTTCAGAGTCCGGTTGATGATTCCCCAAGGATGGCTCGTTTCCTTGACACCTTTCCTCTGTGTACACCCCAGGTGACACCATCCGATGTAGCGTTTTATTGGAGCTCTGGTCAACCTTATTGAATTTATTCCACTCATAACAGCTGCCTGGCATATACGTAGGCTCATTGGTCTCCAACCCGGGAGTTGTCTTGCGTGATTTCTCCCCAAGCTTATTCAGCGGAATGTCATCTTCCGTCTTCATATTGGCGTCTTGAGTACTTGAGTCTGATTCAGAGCCCGATAGATTCGGGCTTGAGAAGATATCCATTGTATTTAACGGAACGTCATCTTCCGTCTTCATATTGGCGTCTTCTTCAAATACGGATTTTCCTGTGGAAGTTAAGAGTAGAGGAAGTAATTGTTTCAAGGTTTTATTACTAATTGGAGACTTACGAGTGTCCGGTCTAGGTTCAGAGTTTGATAGATTCTCCTCGGAGACGAACATTTGGAGTGGTTCTGATGGATTATCCGGGGGAACCATGACCTCTCGTGGAAGAACTGATGGATAGTCCAAGGCTATTGAAGCTTCGTCAGAACTCTTAGCTTCGTCCGTACTTGGAAAGATTGTAGGAAAATCGAGTGCGTCTTCATCCTTTGCAGAGTGGTCTGTTGGCATTTCCAAGAATACTTTTGTTTGCGGCAGTTCGTGAGAGTTTGAAATACTATCGTCTAGAAATACTGCCGAGGTGCTTGAAAGAGGCTTTGTGGCTGAATTCTCCCCCTTATCCTTGGAAGCCTCCAAGTCACTTGTCAAAGGCTTCAGTTCAGTGATATCCTCCCCTTGAGCAGCTTTGATTGTCTCAGCAGATGTCGGGGGATAAATTAAAATTTTTAGCGGAGCTGGGTCGACATCCTTCTCCATTTTGTCTAATATCTGCTGGAGGTCCTTCTTTTGGACTCTCAATACATTACTGTACCTCTGCAGGCCTTTGTATTCTGCTTTAATTTTCAAGGCCGCAGCCCTCTCAGATTTCTTGAGTTCAGACTCAGAAATGTTATTGGTCTTTTCCATTTTGTTTTATTTTGCACTTTATTTGAAAAGTTGGAGGCTCTGTATAGTTTAGAAGTTAATAGTTAATAGAAGTAAATAGTTATAGAAGTTAAACTCTATGTCTGCTTTGTTTCATTTTTCAAATACATTTTAAAAGGATCTCCAGAGAATCCATCAGAGAGTTCGAATGCAAAACATTTCACATTCTTTCCGATAAAAAAAGGTCATAAAAGTGTAGATTTGGGCCAAGAAACTGCCAAGTTAACACAAATCCGTCTATAGGATAACAACCCGATAAGTTGCCCAAGTACACGATGGCCACTTTTTTATTTATTTTTTGCTGGCTTGTCTTTTTGGCTTTTATTAAAGTGATTTTGGCCAAGTGTGCCTGCCGCGAGAAGTTGGTTTTTAGCCATTTCCGTTTCCGCTCCGCTGACTTGAGCTCTTTATTTGAGCGGGAAGGGGACTAGGGCGGTTTGTGTGAAATATTTTTGGGCCGAGGACATAAAAATGTTGTAAAACAAAGCGAATGGGTTTGATGGAGGGGCGAGGTCCTGGAGACTTAAGCAGAGAGAGAGAGTTTGGCCATCAACCAAACGTGACAGAAACAAGACAATGTCGTGGCTACCTCTGGATTTGCTCTGAGAAAGGCTTGCACTGCCGGCTAATATCCTTGAGTAGCAGGATACGTGTGTGTCCTTGGCTGGGGGCCCCTCATACAACACAATTACGCAATCAAACAATGAACAAAAGAAGTTTGTCCGCTTGTCCATTTTCAGTTTCTTTGTAGCTTTTCTGAATGAGGATATCTGTATAAGGATGTATGCATGTCCTTGCCACCAAATGGAATGCCCATTTAAGAATCCCCATAGCAAACTGAAAGGAAAAGTATTTAACATCTTTAATAAAACAGATTTTTTATGAAAAATTTAACGTTATCCTTGAGAATATTCATAATGACTTCATAATTCTTGAAATGGAAATTTCGTACTTCAGAAAAGATCGGTGGCTGACCACCAGAAAGGATTATTTTTCGGGTTCGTTAATTTTTCAGACACCCCATGCCACATTCCATTTGGCTGAGCCTGAAAAATTAAAAACCCATTTCGAATTCGCGGCGCGTGACCTCACGACCCCGCCACAAAAATCAAGTGGACAATCAACAAATGCGAGCCAAATTGCAAGGACGTCGATGCCCGCAGGATTGCCAAACGGCGGCAGACAATGGTGGCTCATCAGCGAGTCCCCAGGATCTCAAGGAGTTCAATGACTGAATGTTTTCCCAACAATTAAAACATCGCCAGGACGCGAATGAAGGACAAAAATAAGATTAGCTTCTATATTTATTTTTTTAGGCTCAAGGCATAAGGATCGCATATAAGGATATGTGATGTGTCAGACCCAAGGACATTAGGTGGCATTATATAGGCTTTGGCTTTGCATAATCCCAGCTTGTCGCCTTCGCTGACCCGTGGCCCCTCAGTTCCGACTCGTTCGAGGGGAATGAGTAATGGGGGCCGCAAAAAGGACAGAACTCGCTGCGTCCTGCAGGAGAGGACGTGGGATGTGCGTGTGCAGACAGCAAACACGTCAATATGCCAGGGCCATAAGCAGCAGACAGCCATCACATCCGGAACAATGAGCTCACAAATACTGAGCGGAGACCCCTGCCAGTCCTGCGACTCCCTCTCCACCGCCCCGAAAGGTCATCCAGTAAATTAGCGACCCGACCAGTCCCCCTGCCAGCTGAAAAATACCCGTAAAATTTGATGCCTTGTAATAAATTCATCGATTTGCTGGCCACGCCGGATAATAGACGTGCCTCGATTTCAATCATTTGTCAAGACTCTCTTTTTTTCGCATCAGAGGCGAGGGGGTTTCCTCGAGGGCTGGCTGTTTATGAATATTCAATCATCTGGCCACGATTCTATTATCCCATGATTATATGCCGACACAACACAGAAAGAATCTACACAGAAGGGGATGCTCCCGTCTTCGGATTCTCTTTGTTGAGTTAAATAATTGGAAGCTAAAATGTGAATAAAAATTAATATGAAAGTAGCCATGTGGCTATTCTGCTTCGAATTATATACAATATTTTATAGAAATTATTCGAGGTGCTACCAGCTCTTTATACAAACAAACGGACACGGTTTTATTAACACATTAATAACTGTTAAATCATTAAATTAAATTCATTAAATTTAATTTCCTGCCGATCTGAGGTTCAAAACGGACCAACGGACAAGTCTACAAAAAAACACTGCAAAGCACTTTTATTTTCATAATAATAATTACAGGTTTTAGTATGGAAACAACTGGAATAAAGATTTTATTTTAATTATATTAAAATAATTTATATTATTTAATAACAATATACACAAAAAATTATACAAAATAATACATAATAAAATATTACATTTATTACAGACTTTTAAAATAGTTTTTCCCTTAAAAGCTCTCTTAAAAGCAAAGCGTCATCAGATCCTTTAAAATACTGATTATAATTTTATTTTATTTACACTTTAGGCACAATTTAAATATTTATACAGTATGTTATAGTTTTAGCATCATTAGCCATTGATGGTAATAACCTTTTTCTAATGAATTCAAAACAAACTTAAGGGACAGAATATCCTCATTTAAATTAGTTTATCAAGTCTCTTTCCCTAACGGACAGATGGTCATGCAGACATAGCTTAGCTATTATGGTACTAATAATACCATTTGGAGGACAGAAACCCCCAGAGCACATACAATCTTTCTCGCCGTGTAGTTTCAGCACGTGTAGAGCAGGAGCCGAGAAATGCCTCCACGCGCAATTACGCGGAGATGCTGATACCGAACACACGCATGTCGTCTCCCGGCCTTCATGACGGATTAATGGCCATCACTTGTCGAGCCAATCACGAAAGAAACTCATCATGCCCGCGGGCCAGAGGTCCTGGGCACAACCTGGACACGGCATACGGCTGCCCACTGGCTGGACTTTAATCAGCTCTTTATAGTCTCGGAAATCCAGCTCTATTTTCCATAGCCCCTGGTGGTTCCGTCCACACGTCATCGAAAGTGAAATTTGCGTGCGGTTTCGATTGTTTGCCGTCACCTCCTCTGGCGTTGCCCAGTCCACTTCCACTTCCACTTCCTCTCTTCCTTTTAATGGTCCTTTCCCACTCTATCCGGCTTGTGTGGGGGATCCGGATCAAAATAACAAGCGGGTGAGCCACTTTAGGGGCATCATCCCGTGGTGTTTGTTTATGCCACAGACGACGAACTGCGGACGTCGGACTGCGGGCTGTGGACTACAAACTCCGGACACTAGACTACGGACAACGGACTGTGGTATCCGGAGCGTGTCGTGAATATTTATACGTATTTGATTAGAGTCTCGCTGATGTGGAGCATGTGGTGGCTGTGCAAGTTTGATTAGATCAACTATCCGGATATTGGTGCCGAACGGAATGTTTCATTTAACGGGCCATATAATTGAGCGACCTATGTCCTAAGTGACCCAGTTTCTGCAGAGTATCCGTACACCCATTTATTATCTACAGCTTATGTCTAGCGAATTACGACAAATAGTCCCCGGAGTGATGACTCTCCATTAGGCAGTTAATGACGTGGGTGGGTGGGGGTCTGATCCTGGTCCTGGTCCTGCTGGTGATGTGGTGACCCCGACAGGCTGTCAATAGACCACTGCAATTCCGTATTCTCTCTCAGGGTTATGATGCCGCAACTTTCTGCCGACGTTGCACAAGAAGTAATGAATAAGGGAAGGCCCAAGATGGGAAGGAGGCGGTGGACCGAGTGGAGGTCTGGTCTAGAGACCCAGCACCAGAAGCATCGTCACGAGGTGGTAAGCCATCATCACCGAAGTCTCCGCAGCAATGTAAACTTTTTCCGGGCTTGAATGTCGCACAGTGGTTCGTTGTGATAAATATTATATTTTTTGGGTTTCAAAATATATTATATATCTAAGATAAATTTAAATTACTTCTGGAAATATTTTTAAGTATTAGTTTCATAAATTTAAAATGTCAACATAGTTGGGCCATATTTGGTTATACAATCGTTAGCCATGGGGTTCGCCATAAATTAAATTACCCCGAGAAACGAGAAGCAGATTCTCTGGTTGACAACAGCTCGTTTACGGCCATACATCTTCCGGATTCCGCATCCCGGATTCCAGGGCAGGCCGGAGTGGGCTGAAATGGACGGATGGACTCCGGACACAGACTCGTTCTGTGCTTTTCTGCATACGCCGACATTTTCGGTGCACATTCGCCTAAGGTCTGCCCAAGTCAAGGTTAGGGCTTCGGGAATAGATGCGTGAATAAAACAAATTGCAGCTTTTCGCTTCACTTCATTACTCTTGGTTTGGGGTACTAAAAAAAAGAAGGATAGAATCCCCCACCCATAGAAATTCAGGATAGCCTGTATTTCCGGCTCGAGCGCTTCAGTATACGTAGTTTTGTTAAAAGTTCTGTGGGTCCCATTTTAGTTCCCTTTTTTACAATTTTGGCAGCAGAGAAGCAATGGAAAAATGGTTGTATTAAATAAATACATTTAAACTTTTTGTAATATTAAATTTAATATTTATACAGATACAGATCTTTCTTTGGCATTTCTTTGACCTTCTTCTTGGCACTTATTTTGAAGCGATGTTCCTCCTGCATAGGTTTGATGTCGTCTTTCGTAACGATGTTATAAAATGATGTCCTGAGGATCCTTGGTCGTCTTCTTCTTCTTTTCTAGTATATTTTTTTTGTATTTTAATCAGCTTAATATATTACAGTTTTAAATGAGCAGTGCATAGGCTGAATGTAGGAAGCGATTTACCCTCATTTGTCAAAGTAACTAAGCGTACTGTGTAAAAATCAAAGTAGTCTTGGACCCCCGGCGACCAGTAGTGGACAGTTTTTGAAAACATATACATAAATCTTATATATGTTAAAATATATCTGAATAACCAATTTTATCAAAATTTTCAGAGGAGATATACCCATATATTTATATACCATTTTCCATACAAAAGGGCTACAATTTTAAACGCGTGCATCTCAAAAACTATACGAGATAGAACTATCCGATTTGGAACTGGGACTCGTATGATAGTCCACGCCCACAACGTGCCCATACACGCCCACTACCACTACGAATGTTTTGGGAGTGTTGGTTAATGTTTTGGAAAAATTGTTTAATGCCATACTATTCCAAGGGCCAATCTAAGCCCACAAATCAAAATTCAGCCAAATTTTTAGATGAGCTATAGACTTTTAAATATATTCTTCCCTGCTGATGCGGTAGTAAAGGAGGGAGTAGGGAGTAGTAGGAGCTTCGGTTGTTTTTTTTTGCCCAAGCGCAACAGTATGCAACAAAAGTTTGTTGCTGAGAATCCATACCGTGAAAGATTAAACTTTAAAGGTTAGTATTCGGTTAATAAAATCATCGTATAATAACCCCCTCGTCTATAGCCGTTCTTTCCGGTTTTTTGTTTTGGATATTCGTTTTAAATGTAGCTAAAGAATTGGCGCAAATTCTTAGTTTTATTTTTAATATCTTAAATACTTTTAAACATCTTTGATTATTTTTCAAGATTTCCAAAATTTTAAAATGCAGTGTGTTCAAGCATTGAACACGATTTTGGATAAAAATTCCAAAGATAGAGTTTTTAGGGATCGGACCCATGGGGATGCGAGATAAACAGCAAGGTCTAAAACCGATCCCCTGCAGCCTAAACAAAATATATAAGTGGTGCGCTTATCGCACTTAAGGATGGGTCACATAGCAGGTCAGCGTGCAATGCGTTGATAAGTACTTTTTAATATATTTAAGATTTTCGTGTATCTTTCTTGTAAGAGAATTGTAAATAATAAAAACCATTTCCAAACTACAAACGAACTATAAATTCAAACGGATACATTTAAATAAGAAGTAGCCTTGTAGGTTTTCGACATACCTTAATATTTTTTTGGTAATACCTTACTTGTGACCCTACCAGTGACACTTTGATACTTACGGTTCATGCATTGCTACTTAATATTATTAGCAATACTTATACTTAATAATACTTATACTTAAGTATTGTTTATACACCTTTGCTTTTTATTTGTTTACAAATTAAAGACATTGTTTTAAGCATTTTCTTTCTTTGAAAAAATGTTCCGGCGTATAATCTGGGAACAGATTCACGGGCCCCGAATATTTTTTACTTTCCCTCTACTTCCAATGAAAAACAAGAGTATAAGAACTCCAACATACAAAAAATGACTCTTCCCTGTTCACTTTATCGCTTGGTAACAAAAAATAATGGGATAGCTAGTAAATACATAGCACTTGTTGATTGCCGGGAGGAGCGGCAAGGACCCAGCCCCGAAGGACATAACCGGCGACAAACAGCTGAACAAACAGAAAGGGTTGCAGGCCAGGACTGGGCACTTTAAAATAATCATCTCTCTCGTCCTGGGAGGCGTGGCGGCTTTGGGGCTTAATTGTCGACACTGTGTGTACTCGGAGTGTCCTGGCCGGAGATCCTTCTGAAGGCGACGAACCGAACCCGACCCGTACCCCAACCCGCACTCGTACCCGGTCTAGATGAGATGAGTTCGAGGCAAGTCAACTCGAGTTGGTTTGGGTTGAGCCGAATGCAGGGCAAAGGACTAAGGTCGAGGATGGTGGGACGGCAAGGATGCAGGACTACGACGGACTCTGGGGTTCCGGAGACCCTCGTCCAGGCATAAGCCGCTTGTGCTCGACTTAACGCGTCGCCTTTTGATGCTGCTGTGAACTTGCAATTAAAATGCTCACTTGGGGTCCTTAAATTGTAAATGCAGGACAGTAATGAAAGGACCACAGCACTCTCAGTGCTCAGAGCTCAGCACTCGATACACTGACCCACTAAACCAAAGCAGTGGAAAAAGCATACTTTGGCTCTGCTAAGCTGGCTTCTAGTTTTCAAAAAGCATATGAAAATAAATCTTCATAATTAACAGAATTTAACAGAAAACTCTTGACAAAGTGTGCACTATTGTGGTTGTTAAGATACATTTTAAATAAAATGTGTAATAATAGAAATACATTCTAGGTCCCTATATGAAAATACAAAAAGGATTATAAAGTTTATTTTTAAAATTAATCATGTTCAAGTTCTAAGGAATACGAAGGGAATCCTTTTTAAATCATTCGGGTGTCTGAATATTATAATAGTTTTTCATCCAACATTTGATGATCCTCAAATACATACATATATACATAGATTATAATGTAGAAAACGTATCTCTCTCTCTAGTAACTGAATGCTTGTAGTATCCTTTGTAGTATCCTTACCTTTTATTAATTTAATAGCTCACTCCCACCCAAATCCAAATCATTCTCATCACACACTTTTGAGTTAGACTGTTTTTATTTTAGCTGCAACCTTAGGAAGTTCAATTGAAACACCAATAGAGTTTGATTACGATTACGATTAAATACAATTACGAGTAGATAAAAAAAAATACTCGATTCGGTTCGATTCGATTCGAAAAAAAAAACACCACGCACACATACGAGTTCTAACGGTATAATATACATATTTACACCAATCGCCTTGGTGTGGGTGGGACGCCAACTTAGAGCTGGGGACTTTCCACGGCGGCGGAGGTGGTGTTCGAGTGGACCACCGAGTTGAGGACCTCGTTCCGTGAGCGACTCCTCCAGGTTCCCATTCCCATGGCTTGGCCGGGATTGGGATTCGCATTCACATTCATATTCGGATTGGGACTGGGATTGTAGGCGCCAGCCTGACTGGCTGTGGACAGGCCGCCAGCTCCGGCAAATCCCGCTGCACCGCCTGCTCCTCCAGCTCCGCCAGCACCAGCCGGCATCCACGGCAATCCCTTAAAGGTATCGACAAAGGCCCGCCGGAAGCTGGCGTTCATGAAACAGTATGTTATCGGATTGCAACAGGACGACGAGTAGGCCAGCAGCTGGAGGAAGCTAATGGCCGTGTAGTCCACATACTCGTACACCACCGGTCCAACCAGCATCGTCAGCGTGTTGATCACATAGAGCGGTGTCCAGCAGATGAAGAACTCCAGCACCAGGACGAACAGCATCTTTACCACTCGCTTCTTGCTCTCCAGGGTCTTGGCTTCGTTGGATCTGCAAACAAATCAGGGAGGTATTGTGAAAAAATAAAAGGATAAGGGAGCATGGTTTTTTTCAGAAATATAAAAGAAACTACCACTTTATTACTTTACTGAGCTTTGGGTGTTCCTGAGTGAATATTTATTATTAGTTTCTCTTCAAAGAGTCTTTATATTGGTAAAAATAAAGTCTTGGCTCAGAAACTGGTTGAATGCTGCTTACAAAGGGCAGAAGACAAGTGAAAATATGCATTTATGTACATGAATTTATTGGGACTTTGTACACATCTACATATATAATTTTATTACAAAACTGCAGACCAACGAATAATGGGTATAAAATAATATTTATATAAATATTTTAAGAACATATTTTAATTTCCTATCTGGTTACAAAAAGTAAACCTATGGATGGAAAACTACTCAATTAATTTGCCTCCAAGAGCGGACAAGCGGCCATATGGATAATGCGAAAAGAGCCATCGAAATGTAAAATTATAATAAACTCTGTACATCAATATCTAACCTGGTACTAAAATCAATACCAAGGGAATCTTATGCAACAAAAATTTCTTTTAACAATTGACAAATTTTCTTTAAAACAAGTTTAAACAACAGTCTTAACAGTTGTAATAAACAGTCGTCCAAATAATATTATTGTACAAGACATATCGAGCCCTATTTGCCATTCTTCAGAAAACATTTTTTTATGCAAATGTATAGGTACATAATTACCAACCGTATTTTTTGGCGCTTACGTTATTTTCTCTAATAGGGCTCGATATAACCAGTCCCTTTTAGAAAAACCAAATTTTTCTATTTTTTATGACTTTATTAATTACCTGCGTAAAGCAGCATCATGAACCCGAATGCTGGGCGACGAGGTCTTAGCCAAAGTCACAGTGGCCGAGGTTGTTACCATATTTGAGTTACCAGGTCTTGTTGCCAAAGTTGTCGTTGTTGTTGTCGTTGCTGTGGTCGTTGTTGTTGCTGCTGCACCAGCGTTATTGTTGTTGCTGTTCTCTGGATTAAAAAAGGATTATAAAAACAAACGAAAACAAAGCATAAAAAGTTACATGACTTCGTTTTTAAAATGATTTTCAAAGGAAAAAGCTATATTTATTTGAATACTTTGTAAAGTTGTTAAGAGGGAATTAAAACCAAAGTTGCGGGGGTGGCGGTTAAATAATTTATAAAATAAAAATAAAAATAATTTAAATGTAATCATTTAAGTTCTACGGATTCTATTTTGAGTAAAAAACATGAGAAAGTAAATTATTTAACCGCCACACCCGCAACTTTGGTTCTAATCAATATTGAAAATATTGTAAAATTTATACGACTTTTTTATGACAATAGGAAACTATTATCTCGATAAGATTTTTACTCAATTTTTTGTCTTAGCTCTCTAAGAAAAGATTGTTTATGTCCTTAAAACCCGTATAGTATCATTTTTACAACTAATAATATTTATGTAAATCACACTCCTTTTAATAAAAAAGACTATCTTCTGGTTTAAAGCGTACTTGCCACAAAAGAATTAAAACAACATTTTTGGCAAGTTAATAAACTTACCGTTGTACACTCCGCCAGAGCTGGTCAGGACCAGGATGCAGTTGCTGCTGCCACTTGGGCCAGGAGCTGACAAGCCTCCGCTGGCGCCTGCTCCCGCGCCGGATCCTGCGGATGTGACGGTTCCGGTGGCCTGTTGCTGCAGCATCCGGCTGCTGTCCTTGGCCATGCCGACGTACAAAGTGCGCGTAATAAGGATGTACGCGACGCAAAGGATCAGGAGGGGCAGGACGAGTAGCAGGAAGTCCAGCAGGATGTTGTAGAAACGCTCGTAGCCCTGGTCGGGCCAAGTTTCGCGACACTTGCAGTATCCTGCAGGATCACGGCAGTTTCAAAATGGAACGGGGACGCGGTCAGTACAAGGAACTCACCTGGCCTACTGGTAGGTATCAATTGACTGAAAACCGCAATTGGACTCATGCAGAATATGCCGCCCAACCAGATGACCCCGATGATCTTGTAGGCGTGGCTTATGGTCTGCCAGGAACGGGATCTCAATGGATGACAGATGGCATAGTAACGTTCACAAGATATGGCCACCAAAGTCCACGAGGACACAGCCACCGAAGCGGCTATAAAATAATACAAAAAAAATAAATAAATTAGTTAAATTTAAGAGCATTTCATTACAAACAGAATTCTTAAACAGGCTTTTTAATTTTTGTGAAAGGGTTACACTGGTTACTGCCAGTGGTTTGTAGTGTTACTAGGCTAATTAAAGTTTAAATGATGACCAAAAAGAAATAAAAGCTAACAAAGAAATAAGAACGAGATAGAAGCCAGCGTGGCTGAGTGGGTGGACGCTCTAACTCCTACCGTTTTCCTCAAATCAAGGTTTGAGTCTTAAAAATGAAGTAAGAAGTTACTATTTTTAAGCCTAGCTCTGTTTTCTCCAAAGCCCGTATACCCAAAAAAAAAACAAAAAGGTTCCAAGCTCCTTGAAAAATATGAAAGGTGACCCAATCGTTTTCATCTCAGCTATATAAGTCATATAATATTTTTCGATTTGAAAAATTTTTCAACTTAATCTTTTTGCAAGAAATTTATAGCTCAGTACCAAATCTTAGGTTTATAGACTTTAGAATTCAAGTAAAATGCATATAATCATACCATGGTGGTCATTTTTGTTTTTATCTTCTTTTGACGCGATTCCCAAATAGAAGAAAGTTCCACTCTCCACGTTCCAGCAAGAAAATATCACGGTTTTAGAAACAAAAATAAAAAAACAACTAAAAAAAATAAAAAATCAAGACAAAGAAAATAAAACAAGAAAAGCTAAAAAAAAGTGAGTTTAAGTTCAAGTGAGTTCATTTTAAAAAAAGTATCCATTAAGAAGACTACACCATCATAAAAACAAAGATGACAAACCAACTCAAATATGTAATTAAGCAACACTAAAAAACATATGTTCAAATAAAGTAAATTTTAAATTAAAATCAGAGAAAAAAGAAGAAAGTTAGTTCCTCTTCATTTTCCAAGTAGAAAAAGATTCTGACCGGGACAGAAAAACCTTATATACCAAATATTTCGAAGCTGGTCTTAGTGTTAATTATAGAGGTAATAAAAATAGTTATTCTACACTACTTTAAGTATAATTACGAAGCATTCTTCAGACACTGTTCTAGTTAATTGAAATATTACATCACTAGTTTCAATAAAATAAATTGCAAGATAAATTCCATATTAAAGGCTCTCTTAAGGAATATCTTGGCTCTCAAAGAATGTCCCAACCTTTGCCAAAATACCAAACACAAAGCCCAATAGAAGCAATATGGATACACTGGTGAAATCAAGTCAAATGTTACCATGTCACTAACACATTTATCAAAAATGTGCTTAAAACAATCTAAAAAGAAGACAAAATGTTGGCCCTATAATTTGCAACATGTAACCACATCATTCTTAATATTATCCTTCAACATAGCAAAGCAAATATGTCAACCCACATCCCGTGTTAAATCGCTTTCATTGGAAAGCTCTTTCGCCCGTGCTCGTTGCATTTTAATTACGCAATTTGCATATTAAAACCATTTCGCTCTCTTTCCATAGTTTTTGCCTCCACCAGAGTGCCACGCGGCCAGCCTGGCAGCGTGACAGTATCTAATCCAAATGTCCTGGCAAACAGGATGCAATGCAATTTGTGCAAACTGCAATTAAACTATTCCCCTAACGTCTTTCGCCATCTTTTACATGTTTTCTCGCCATCCCCTTAAACTTTTTTTTTGACGGCGTCGGAATTCTCACACCTCGACCCTTCACCCTTTATTCAGGGACCTCGTCCTGGTGCCATAAAGCAATTCCCTGTCCCGTCGTTTGAATGCACTTTACACGGACAAATACCGCCGTTCAATATGTACATTGTACATATCACCTCTCTGCGGCATCGGTTGGGACATAAAAAGCAGCATGTGTTGCATATCCTGCGGCTTTATTTGAATTTCAATTCAATTGTTTCGATGCCGTAACACGAAAAGAAAACCAGAGTGCAAGAATTTATGTATTGTGTATATGACATAGTAAAAAAAAAGGATATAAATCGTATAACATGGGGGGTTATTTGTTAATATGATGTGACCTTGCTTAAAACATTTTATGAAGAAAACAAAGAGGGTTAATAAGTGGTCACACTGGTAGGCTTCTTACAAATTAAATAGCTCTATAATGCCCATGAAACTCTATTAAAATCGTGCCTTAAACCATGGCACTAGTTTTAGTTAACCAATATGGCCCGACTAAGAATCATTTTATAAAGAAACAAGACCACTTGTTTCTTGGAGTGCACTTGCCACGTTTGCTGAACTAAGCCCCGAAAAAATATGAAAGTTTACCTTGGCTGAAATGCTGGCATTTGTGCGCCATAAGCCCGGGAATCGCCCGGTATCCTCCTTTTGACATGTTTGTACTTGATTTCTGGCGCGCCCCTCCTCGAATCGAATCAGAAAACTTAAAGGCTAAGCAGTTTGATTGATTCGACGCCTGCCGCGAAAAGTCTTGACAACTAAATCATTTCGAGGAATACCAAGACGATATTCCGAGGGGCTCTACATACATATATGTACAAGTACATGTGCTGTGTTTGCAAAATAAAAAAAAAAAAATCTAATTCAATTGGCAAATGCAAAACTGACAGCAAATAAAGAGGCAGCGGCAAATGACGAACCCAAATTGAATTTGATGTCCGTACCTCCCGTCGCCGGCATCCGTTTGCATTCTATTTCGGTTAAGACTGCTTTTCTTTTGGGGCCCAAAAACTGATTGAATTTGATTTGTTGGTAGTGCGGGCAGTGCACACGCCCTCTCCTTAAGGGGCGTGTTCACGAAGTACGGCAGTACGGGAGCATGGATGTCCGGAAAACGTGTTGAGCATATTACGCATACGACACGCAGTCCCCGAGTCCCTGACTCGCCCGCATAAATATATCCGACTCTGCGACTCTGACAGGCCGGAATTTATAAGCGTCAGTTGGGTGATAAAATTTGATTGCCGCAAATAAAAGGGGCATGGCCGTGGGCAGGATGTGGCAGCCCCAACAGAAAAAAAAAAATAATAATAATAATCATTGTGACCACTTTCTACTTTCGGGACGGGGCTTTCTGGATTACAACTTTAAGTGTTCAGGCTTGCGTGTTTCTTTAATGAAGTAACATATGGCGGTGATTTAAGTGTAATATGTATATTACTCTAATAAAATAACCCTAAATATATACATTTCGTATTCAAATTTAGAAGATTAAGCTTTTTTTTAAGATTACATTTACTTTAATATTTTAAAGACTTTCTTAAACAATTTTCTTGATTTAAATCAAACTGCCTAAATAGTATATTGATTTTTTGCTGTTTATTTCAAAGAGTTATTTCGATTGATTTCTAGAACTAATACTACTACTAATACCAAAACTTTAATACTTTTTTTAAAATAAGTTAAAGACTATTATAAGTTCTTATAATCAACTCTTTTCTACTAAAGTTAAGTCGTCAATTTTTGGTATATCTTAAAGCAGGTACTATTTATAGTTTTGTTTTAATTCAATATCTTCCATGAGTATCAGCCAACTGGATATAAGGAGAGCTTGTGTCTCTCAAGCCCCTAACCCTCTAAACTAGAATAGGCTCAAAAGTCCTTAGCACAGGACCGGGTCTAAGTAAGCAAAGTAAGAAATTGCCAGGACAAATTAGAAATTCCCATGCCATCCTCGTCGGCTCTTGGCCAATACGACATGAAAAAAGCCAGAAAAGTCTTTAAATTAGTTTTTAGGCCAGTGATTGACAAGTGAATGTGGGCGGCGACAGCGACGAGAAAGTTACTCCTCCGTCAGGTGACAGAAAGGACATCTACTAAGGACACTCTCTAGCTATCACTTCAATTGAAGGAATGCCTTTTATTTCCGTGGCAATTTTTTTTTTGTGCACATTGTGCAGAAAACGATGTACACGGCCCGGGTGGTGCTTCATTTTATTTTATTTTATTTGTAATTCAATCTAAGCTGTGCAGGACGAAACTCATTTAAATTCAATGATTCATTTCAATGTGGGATTTTTGGAGGCGCCAATGGCAAAGTTTTCGGCATTTTGGGCTCGAAACGCAACCAGAGTTTTGCCCAAAAATTCTATTAAAGTTGAAAGCGAAACAAAGTTGCTAAAACGCTTGGCTTTTTTTTATCGAATTAAGTACTCGAAAGTGGCTCAGAGGGGCTGGTGGAGGGGGCGTGGCGCGGCGCGGCTATATCCTCCAAGTTTGCTCTGATGGGCCACTTTTCCTAAGCCGAAAAACTCATATGTCTGGTGCAGATCCCAGCCGAGAAGCATCCACGGTTGATATTAATATTGTTCTCAAGTGGTTTCAGCTGAGGCCACTTCACGTACTGCAGGATACTCCTGGCAGGAGAAGCTAGGAGCCAGCAGCCAGGATACAGGAGCTCTGATCTAAGAGCAATGCATTAATTAAAAAACTTCATGCTTAACAAATCCCAGAAGGCACAAAACTTTCCCTACTTTCGGAACAAAAGGGACAAAAGTTGTGGAGTAAGTTTCTTGGCCTAGAAGAGTAGTGGGAGTTTCCGTTTCTGTTTCTCTAATGCCCCAAAAATGAATATGAATCCTAAGAATCCAAAGGACCCTGGACTACATGGACCAAGGACTATGTTCATGTAAGAATTTTACACTGTTTACGCAGCTTTCACAGTTTTTATTTACCAGAGAGCCCCTGCCAGCGGCCAAAAGGACACACACCCACCACATAATATCCTGGCCAGGTGGACAGTATTTGGGGAGAGAGGGCCCATAGGAAAACGACACTTTCTTTTTTGAATTTTCGTAACATATGTAACATAACGCCCCCTAAAAACTGACGTCGAACACATGTTCCAGCGGCAGCGAGTATATCCTTGGCAAACGTGTCCTTTTTTCCGGCCGTTTTGGCCAAGTGTTTCGGGATTTTATTGCCGTTGACAACTGCTCTGCGTAAGGATTTTTTGTGAGCCTGGCTAACCGGCTTATCCTTTTTTATTCGTTTGCCGACAAATAAGTTTAAGTTTTTAATGTCGAATGTCCTTGTTGTTGGGTGCTGGTAGAGGCTTTTTGGGGGAAAATGTCACGCTAATTGCCGCAACCCTTGTCACATGGCTGTTGCATGTTGCATGTTATGCATATCCTAATGCCCAGGTGTCCTGTGACAGCCACGCCCTTGCCACCACCAGCATTACCGCTGCCACCGCCAAATGGACATTTAATTCCTTCGGTTTTTGTGTGTGTTGGCTTTAAAATGCCAGGCATTTCATTTCGATAGTTTTTTTTTCACTTTTTCTAGAGTTCTAGAGTTTTTCTTTGCCATTGGATATGTCCTGGCATTGTGGATGTCCTGACACCCACAGGACAACTGTTGGCAATGCCAAGAGCGAAAGCGAAAACGAAAACGATGACAAATTGAAAGCGACAGCCCTGACGACCAGAGTCCTGCCTGCCTGCCTGCCTGCCGCATTCCGCATCCCACATCCCGCGACTCGCGTCCTGGATTAAGGACAAATGCTCCAAAGTTTACGCATTACGCAACGGGCCACAATTTCTAATTTGTGCTTCTAAGTAAAATATCCTTCGTCCTTGGGGCGTCGCCCGTTAATGCGCCTGCATCATAAACATGAACAACCACATCCACAACAGCAACAGGACAACAATGGGAACATAATGCCATTGGTGGCACAAATCCCATTTAATTGTCTGTAGCGCCCCCGAAATGACGCCTCGAGTTCCTTTTTCGTCCTTTTCGGAACGGGCCAGCTTGCTTGCCCAAAGATGTGGCAAATGTCTTTTTAATAGCCCCCACGTCCTGGCCAGTTCCAGCCAGTCCCGACAAGTGTTTGATTTGAAATTATGTAATGGACCGACTCCGAACTGCCAACTCAACAAATCCTAATTATTATGATTTCAATCTTGGAATTATTTTTCGCTTTAAATCGCAGGACACGACTGGAGACAGTCGTCCAGGACTAGACTTGAAATCCACAGAAAAAAAGGGGTAATCGTAAAAGGTAACCAGTAGGGATATAAAAAATGAAACCAGGACAATGTTTGGCACTTTATTGACTATGTTGCTTGGGGACCTGAAGTTGTGCGGTTCCCCTTTCACCTTCGAGACTCCGAACGTCCCAAATGAACTCCTTAGAACATGGCCAATAAAACGATCCACATGCAACGATAATCGTAAAAAATTATTTTAATGTCAGCCATCACAAACACCCACCCAGACATACACACAGGCATACGCATACAGCCACATATGTAAGCTTCTATGAATATTTAGCCAGGATATCAACAAAATTGTGCTTATGTATTTGTAATTTCGGCTAATTGAAGGCAGTTCAGGACTTTGGATGTCAAATATTAAGCGTTCCTCCTTTGGGACAGGTTGAGTTGGGCCACGCTGCGGTCTCGACGGTACAATACCCGGTAGTATAACACTTCTTGGCTTCTTGGTTGTGATTTTTTGTCATTTTAGTAAAAAAAAACGAATCTTAATATCTAAAATCTGCAGTATAGATTTCATGATTTGGTACTGCTATTTATTATCTGATTTTTTTTAATTTTAAGCTAAAGCATAATTAAGCTAAAAGAAGATGAAAGATGTATATGACCTTATATGAGATATTCAGACTTTATAAGACTATAGGTATATGAGATAAGATACCCGGTACTCTTATTATAATTAAGTAAACTTTTGAATAAAACTAACCACTCTTCATTCAACATTTTGTAGATAAACCTTAAACCATTTGGAAATCATAATAAAAAGTCGACAACTCCTCTAAAAAGTATTTGATTTTTTCTGCATTTTTTTCTAGAAACATATTAACCTTTTTTGTAGTTTTGCTCCATCGGAAATGGCTTCCCTCACCACAGTTACATAATTCCCACAAATACAATACACCTTCCCTGTACTCTCCGAGGTATAAAAAGGTCAACTATGCCTTTTAGCAACTTACCTTGTGAGAATTGAAAGAGCTTGCACAGGAACTCCCCAAAGATAAAGTTACGCAGCAGAGTCCCCACCAGCGTCACTGGCATGCAGAGCACGCCCAGCAACATGTCCGAGATGGCCAGGTTCAGGAGGAAAACATTGGTGATGGTTCGCATACGACGATTTTGCACCAGAGTGGATATGACCAGGAGGTTGCCCAGCACGGCAAAGAGCAGGATCAGGGTGTAGCTGGGTATCAGCCAAATGGGCATACCGGAAGATGTGGAGTAAGTCGAGGTGGAAGTGGAGGAGGTGGCGCCAGGACCTCCACCAGCGACCATGCCTGGGGTGGCAGTAGCGCCCGCAACCAAATCACTCTCCAGCGTGGCATCCTCCGGGCCACTACTGTCACTGCTGTTGGAGTAACTCCCCGTGCCATTGTATGGACCCGGTGACAAGGATACTATGTGCCCCGCCGCACTGGGGGCGTTCGAGTAATAGTCAAGGAGGGCTGCCAGGACCGTTTGGGCAGCATCCTTGGCCCCGTGACTGAACATCCCGTTGACGGGACTATCTATCACTAACCACGTATGCGGATCATTTTCGGCGGATGACAGCCCCGATTTAATGACCAAAACAGGAAAAAATTCAAAATAAACCCGTCAAAGGACACACTAAGCAAATGTCAGAAGGAGAACGCTTGCGCGCAGGATGCGAATACGGATTCCGCGAATTATGACTTGTTGTCCGGCGAACGACACGAACTGGACTCCGAGACTCAGGGCTGCCTGGTTTTTCGGCTACCGATACGGATAACGCGTCGTGGGCATCTGACCGACTCCTTCGCGGGCGGCCACCGCCTGGCAACATGTTGCGTGGGCGTCGCCACTTGGCGCAAACTCACCACGACGACTTGTTGCGGCAGCATATTGCGGCAACACGTCGGCCAACACGTGTTGCCAAGCCCACGCATTTGTTGGCATTCCACCTCCCCCGCTTAAATCATTAAATTACATTAAAATTAAGACCAGTCTTTGTACAGATGTTTTCAATTTTAATGTAGAACTCTAATAGCTCTAATTTTTACCCATTCACCTGTCTATGTTATTTTTGTCTGTTATGATTTAGTTGATAATATTGGAAACTATGTATTTGACTCAGCGATTAGTGAGTGTTTAAAAGCCATAATTTTTCATTATATTTTTATACCCTTGCAGAGGGTATTATAATTTTGTCCAAAAGTGTGGAACGCAGTGAAGGAGACATCTCCGACCCTATAAAGTATATATATTCTAAACCATTTTTTCGCTAATCACTAATAATTAAATTTCAATATGTACATATTAAGGTATTAAAAACATAAATAAATAGTATAGAAACTTTGAAGCCATTTTTTGGTACACTAATCGAAAAGTTCTAGTACACCTGTCAATGTCTTAGATGTAAAAAAATAAAATAATAACAAAAATAAACCATTTTTGTCGTTTTTAGAAGAAGACATGCTATAAATAATTAAAAAATATTTTTGTTTCTAAACCGGTTTTTCGCATATTTTATCTTTCCGCCTTTTATAATAACTAAAAGTTAACGAATAGACCATTGCAGGGAAAACTTGTAAATATAAATTTTATTTGAGTCTTTTCTTAAAAATAAAAATATTCAATCCGGAAACATCTATAAAATTCAAATAAAAATTACTTTCAAATTTCCGGGCGGGCTTTGCAGGAATGGACTTTTTTCGATTACATATCGACCAAACATAAAAGATCGATAGCCCGCACACAAGTAGAGTTGCCATTTATTGTTCGGTGCAAGACGTTGCCAGATCGTCAACAAACAAAATATTGACAAAGAACGACAACCCTGCTTCAATCTTTTTGAATCTCCATCTGCGAAGAATTGACTGAATCCACGAAGAACCGTTGATTCGAACGGACTGCTGCGGCAGAGTATCTTTCTATCTATCTATCTATATATCTGGAGCTTGTGCATTTTTTTTTTCGGCTCGCCGTTGTGTATATTTTTGTTTTCGTTTGTCATTTTGTGTGCCGCCTCAATTAGTTCGCCGGTTCCCCGTCCCAACTGCCGGGCCATCCGCTCCACCAAGTGCCGCACAGATTCATTGAACCCTCGACTTTTGAGATTCTGAGGCCCGCAGTAGCGGCAAGAGCAGCATCAGCTTCAGCACCAGCATCCCCAGTTTCCAGTTTCAACCCATCCAGCGTATCCAGAATGTCGGACGGCATCGAGGTCGAGCAGATAGTGGAGAGCAAGCCGAGGAGGGTGAGTCAAATCCCTGGCCAGATTGCCGGCCGATCCTCCCATTCCTTGTACGATCCCTCCTGCCCTCCTGCCCTCCTGTCCGTCCCCCACACCCGGTGACTCTTCCCCGGGGAGATATGCGGGCAGGAAAGTGGGAATGGTGTGTGTGTATACCAGCAGAAAGCAATAAATGCGTCAAGGGACAATCGAAATTAAGGGGGCACATCCTCCTCTTGGCACAACACAAAAAAAAAAAATTATTTTTAGAAACTGTAGAGGATAAAATACAATATTTTTTTTAACTAAAAACTAAATTTTAAATTACCTTTCATCTTTTTGGGGGAACATTTATAAAAATTATGAATTAAATTAAATCACACTAGTATTTTTCCACCGTGTAAAGAGGTGGACCCCCCCTTAATCCCAAGATGCGATGGGGGCCAGACCAAGAGAGTGAAGATACCGGGAGAGCGCCAAGAATCAGGAGCAGGAGAATGAAGGAAAAGAAAATCCAAAAAAAAAAAAACAGACGAGAGGGAGATATGCGACTGATGGAGTTGTGTGTATCTGTATGTGTGTGTCTGTGTGCTGGGCTTTAAGGGGTTATATACAGTTGTGATATATGAAAAAACCGATTTTTTTTTTAATGCATATTGTTTAAGTATATTCTATTGGGAATACTCTCACAAAAATTTATAACGATCGGAGCATTAGAACCCAAGCTGTAGCTATTTATAGCGCACTATCTGCATATAAAACTTGAACAAACTTGAAACTTTAAACGCGATTATCTCAGAATCTTTTTTTTGGGAAATTACCTTTGCGGTGGACATGATTACTAAAAAACTACTAATCGGATCAACACCAAATTTTGACCACTTATTTATTATGATATTAGCTAGTCCGTGAACGAGGGATTTTTAATTTTTTTGAAAACTCCTTTTTTAAAGCACAAAAAACGAAAATCTTATACCTTGAAAAAGTACATTTTTTGTTAAAAACGTCGCCATTTTTTTATTAATCAAAATTTTTAAAAATCCCTCGTTCACGGACTAGACAATACAATATACTAACTAAACTTTTTTGAATTTTGGATTTCGGCTGAACCGTTTTCGAGAAATCATGTCCACCGCAAGACACCATCGAAAAAAGACGATCCGGGAATTCGGCTATAACATTTTGGTTATGTAATATTTTTTTATGAAAAAATTTAATTAAGTACCCAAAAACATCTACTAAACAACGTCGGTAAAACATTTTTCATAAATATTTTCTATGGTGTCAAAAAAAAATCGATAAAAATCCATATTTTTGCGCGGTACAACTGTATATAACCCCTTAAATAACTCTGACTTCTGGCTCCAAAAAAAAAATATAAAGAACCGGAACATGTTGCCGGCTATCCCGTCTATGCGGGGGCGTCTGCGCACGCACTTACACGCACACACTTACACACTGGCAATGTGACCAAGTGGCAAGTATCAAGTTCAAGTGCATAAGCGAACGATGCGGTTTCTGCGTCCCCGTCGGCGGCGTATAGCTTTCCAAGATTACGGTTATTTCCAGCTGTCAAAATACGGCTAGACTCCAAAGCGGAGAGAGCGGGAGAGTGAGAGGCAAGGTAGCTATCGTTGGAATTCAGCTGATCGCAGGTTCATGTGATTCTCCTCTCCAGCCAACCCTCCCCCTCCTGGCTGCCACTTGAGGGCACTCCACTTGCACTGTGCTCTGGCAAGGTTAATCTTTACAGCTATGATTGCTTGAAACAAAGAACTCCTTCACCCCAAGGGGAACAACCTGCCGACATTACGCCTTCTTTCATTTTTGGCGGTCGTCCACACCACTCCCACACACACCACCACTCATATGAGTCACGAAAGAACTGCTCCTTTGTCTCCACCCCAAGTGAGTCACCCACTCACCCGATTGTCCCCATTGGAGGTCCTCCAATGACTTCCGATTATATTCATTCGTGTTTGAAGCGCTTTGTGGATGTCTTATCTTAAAAATATTAGTCAACATGCAGAAGCATATGCAAAAAGCAGAAGGCGATAAAAAGCACAAAGCACAATCCCAAAATACTCTCATTTCGATCTGATGGTGGAGATAATTTTCGCTACTGGGGGGTGGGGGGATGCATCCAAAAGTGTTGGATGTACAACACATTGCACCTGCAATTCGCTGATCGTATTCAGTTTCGTTTTCGTTTGCAGTTATTCTTTTTTTTTTTTATTTTGTATTTTATTATGAGTTATACGTGTATATATGTACAATATATACTGTGTATACTGTGTATATATCTTTATAGGCATTCCAACTCACCATGCTTGGCTACGTTCCGATTGACTAAAGCATATTACTCAGTTATGGCATATGCATTCAAGGAGGGTGGGGATTGCGAACCCGTATCTACACGGAGAGAAATGATCTTCGTAGAGCCGTATTGATTTCCTTGGGCGGGTGGTAGCGGTGGCGGTGGGGGGGCCTGAATCATGATAGTCGGCAATCGTTTATGGAAGTGCGGCAGTGCCACTATCGCCATTACCATATATGGAAGGCCAGGAGTTGCCTGATGACACACACACACGAGAATATGAACAAATATATATATATGTGTGTATACCCAACCCCCATCTGATGTGACTAACCCACAAAAAAAACACCGATTGTTTTTTATGATCTGTAAAATTGGAAAACAAAATAAGAGTCACTTTGCTCGACACTAATTGGCCAAATCCAGATCCCCAGATCCCCGGCCCAAGATACTCCACAAATATTAGAAATTTCCGTCGTAAATCGTTTTCGATGTGTGGGTGGGTGGGTAGGTTGTTGCTTTGGCGGTTTCTTATCAGACCCGCCCCGGCGGACAAACACACCCCCCAAAGCCGACAATGTCTCCTCCTGGGCGCAGTCGCATCTAATAATTTCTGTTTCTGTTTCTGTCGTGTTGTCACCACAACAGTCACAGCCACTAGTCACAGAGATATCACAAAGGCCTTATCGTTCTTATCGGATTGCTAATTTTAGGCCATCACGTATCAGGGCGCTACTTTCTATAGGGTATATCGCATAGGGTATTCCCGCCTTCGTTCCTAATCCAATTCTACTATTTGGAATATATGTATAATATTTCTGCAACGGTTCAACTAATTAATTCAAAACAAACGGGTGCCCCAGCTCTGCTCAACTTCTCGCTCACAACAACAGAAAATAATAAAAAAAAAAAAGAAGCTCTTCTTGTGAAAGTTCGGCTTTGGGTTTTTGGGCTTTAATTGTCCGGCTTTTTTGATATTTTCGGCAGACGAGCCCAAGTTGCCGTTTGCCGTTTGTCGCTTGTCGTCTTCCCTCTCCAAATCTTCAAATCTCCAAATCGCTTTGCGCTTTTCTAATTGATTTTTCTCACAAAAACGTCCGGTCATTGAACGCATTATGAAGCACAGCTTTTGGCTCTAGCTCCCGGCTTCAGTCCGATCTCCATCTGTATCGGTATCTGTATCTATTTATTGTTCCTTCCTCTAAAATGAAATACAAAAAAAAAAACAGAAACCCTATAGCAGAATACCCGCATCTTCATCCCGCTTCCCGGGTTCGATCTCATTCGTTCAGACCCCAAAAAAAAAAAGTCACTTATCACAATCTGTGACCTGCTTTTATGTCTGATTGAAAATTGTCACGCGTAAATTGCTTTCAATGAAGCGATCTGATGGGGCTTAAGACAATAAAAGCAAGACAATAACCGGCAATCGTACACCGAGAGAAATGATGCGATCCTCCAGAATCAGACCCTGATCAGACAACCTCCAGAAACTCCACTATCATATCACTGTGGAATATTTCCATTATCGCTTTCAAGCAGTTTGTTGTTTGGATATGATATCTGAGATTTTTTATAGTTGGTTATATAATTCTTATCTAGAAATATCAATTCCTAAATGGGGCATTACCTTGACTTTTACTTTAATTGTATAATGTGTAAGCATTATTTGTTCCAGTTTTTAAGTGCAAACTAAAAATAATTATCTTTTCCACGTACGAATTTTAAGAACTCTTTTTAAAACAGCTTTGCATTTAGGCTTTACCTTAAGCCACTTTTTCTATCAAAAATAAATCCACAAAAAAAATATATACTTGGAAGAATAATAAACCAGTATTATTGAAACTATATCTCATACATATACATATTAGCGTCCCAAGATAGATTAGCCAAGATTAGCGTTCTCTTTAAAGTTTCAACAAAAGTGGTAGAAGCAACAAATGTTACTAACTTTAAAAATATATTATTTTGTATCAAAAATAAAGCCTAAATGCATTTTCTAAAGGAATTATGGAATAATAATACTTTAAGAACTTGAGGATAAAATCATGCCATTTATTCGAGAGTAATACATATATTAATATATTTTTTACCTTAAATATCAGCTCCTCAATATGTACTCTATAAAGTAAATACGAATTACTCTAAAGTATTAGAAGCAAAAAAAGTTAAAACTAATTATTGTTTACTTTAAAATTATTTAAAAATATATTTATGTATCAAAAATAAAACCATTAAAGCATTGGATAAAAAAAAAAATTAAGCAAAGTAATATCTTTTTTTATATATAATACATACAATAAATATATATTATATTATGTATATATGTATACATATATAATACTATTCTATTTCTCATAAATACTTTATAAGGCTAAGCTATACTATACATATGTGTATGAAGGTTTACCCTTTAAAGTTTCAACAAAAGTAGCTCCAATTTACGCTTCAATTTCTCCCGGTGTACAACCAAAGAAAATATTAAGGGCATCGATCCCAACTGATACCATTTTCGAGCAGAAATGCAGCGTAATCCCCACATTTATGATTACAATAAATAAACACTCTGGCCACTAAAATGTGAACAAATAGTTGCTATGTATTTCCTGAAGCCGAGTGCATGGCGTGCTTGGGTTTTAGTTTTTCTCAGACACGGAAATAAATCAAATCTGATTGGATTGGAACGGATCGTATTGAGTAAAATCGAAAGCGAAAGCCAGACTGAGAGACGCCTGAGCGGAGGCGGAGGTGGAGGCGATCCGCTTGGCCAAACCATGACATCACTTCCTAAAAAAAAAAAATAATAAATATATTACTATTTTTGTATACGCCGTAGATGCCATTGGCCACCTCACTGGACAAGGACTCCATTCGCGAGGCATACGAGGACGTGCGCTCCGATCTCACAGACACCGAGTGGGCGGTGTTCAAGTTCGACGGCCCCCAGATCGTGGTCCATGCCAGGGGCCAGTGCTTCGAGGAGTTCCGTCAGCAGTTCGGCGACTCGGAGCGCGCCTTCGGCTACATTCGCATCCAAATGGGCGACGAGATGTCCAAGCGCAAGAAGTTCATCTTCCTGACGTGGATCGGCCAGGAAGTGGGCGTCATCCAGCGGGCCAAAATGTCCACGGATAAGGCGCTCATCAAGGACGTGCTTAATGTGAGTACTTGATCTCCACCACGTCCAATGGATGGGACGGTTACTAATCCTTCAAATCTCTTGCAGAACTTTGCAGTGGAGCTGCAGGCGGGCGTGGAGACGGAGCTGGACATCGGCCTGTTCCGGGAGGCGTTGAACCGCGCCGGTGGTGCCAACTACGGTACCGGCATCCGGGATAACTAGGCGTTCCTGCAATTATACAATTAAACTATTTTTTTTGTGCATCTCTTCAATCGCTTACCAAACTGCTCCTTTTTACTTAATTATGAATTAATTTTTACGCAATTTTAAATTTGTATATTTTACGTAATATAATACGAAAATTGTAACATTTATTCCAAGTGTTTGGCTTCCAGCAGAGCGTACTATTCATGGGGGTGCCAAGGACTAAATAAGGGTCCCTTGGAAACCAATTGCTATATTGGAGACACGAGTTATCCATATACTTTTGATTATACTAGGGATTTGGTTTTAGATAGGGTACTCCTGGAAACCCATGGGGGTTTTGATTATATAATATTATTATAATTATTATTACTATTGTATCATCTTATATGATTTTTATTACACTTAAGATCTGTTATTGATAAGGATTCTCTTGGAACCCGTCGTCATATGGGAGACTCTGGATTAACCTTAGAATTTGAACTTAGCGCTCTCTTGGAAACCCATTGTCATATAGGAAATATACCCATTGTCATTCCTTGAGGTTTGCTCTTATATAGAATCACTAACCATACAGCATATAGACAACCCATTTCATACAACGAAAATGGACGCGAAAATTTCTTGCGACAGGCCCCAGCAGGCCCCAGAGCGGATTTCTTACGCTCTCTTACGCTCATCGTTCGTTCATCTTACGCTCATTCTCTCATTAAATTTTTTCTGTTTCTCAGTCTCTAAACGGAGCGCGATGAAGAAGGTTGGCCTGCGCTTCGGTTGATCTTCGTATGTATGCGTGTCACACATTCACATACATGGGTGTATGTGTGCGTGCGATTTCGTTTCGAAGCCAGCGCACAAAATTTTGATTTTTCTTACTTTTCAGGCTTGCTACCCTAACCAAATTCGGGTATTCGTTATTTGATGAAATGACGAAAGAAATTATATTATTTTTTATATTATATTTTTTATTATTTCAGCATACATTTTTAATTTATTTACGAATAAGATTAAGTGTTAGTAGTAAAATATTTTCTGTATATATATTTTTACGAATCATTAAAATCAATATACTGAGAAAGTGTCAGAGTATATTTCAGTCGGAGTCACTTAAAACGCCGATTGCTTTTAAGTTTTTGTTGTTCTGCAAGAGGCTTGTGCATGCCTACTCTAACGATGGAATGATTTTTAGGGGAGGGTGAAGACACGAAAACAGCTGATGGACTTGTTTACCTTTTTTGTTTACAATTTTTCAGGCACTTGTTATTATTTTGGTTTATTGTGAGATTTTATTAAATTATTGTCGTTAATTTAATAATTTCCCTATATATTTAGAAACTTTAAAAAGTCGCCGCTCGAATTTGTTACAGATATATATACATATATATAAATATATATATATATATTTACGTACTTATATATGTATATATATATATATATGTATTTATGTCGGTATCCAGGGAACACCACGAGGAGGCCATTGCGATTGCGATGGAGTCTTCAATGAAGACTTTCGAGTCGACTTGAGATACCAAAACTAATTGGCTATCTCCTTGTTCCCCACCTAACATAACCTACTCCTAAACTAATAATAAAATGAGACAATTACAAAACCAAAAATTATTCTTTGAGTATTTTTAGTTTCTTTGAACCTGCTGCTGATGCAGCTTTTCCTTTGAAATACATTTTTTCTGTTAGCCATTTGCTGTTTTTCCTCAATAATATTAAAACAAATCCGTCAAGCATTTTCATCCTGTGTTCATAACAGGGATGGCTAACCGAAAACCAATTAGAATATATGCTGGATTTTTCAGTGGAGGATATGCAAGATTGAATAATTGTTTTCTTTATTCTGTTCATCTGTGGCTTTTTTTCAAATATTTTCTTAAAAACAGAATAATGTATTTCAATCAAAGAAAAATAGTAGTCAGAAGGAGCTTTAAGTTTTAATGTTTTATCAGCGCAGTCATAATTTTTATTCAGTATAAAATTTTCCGTACAGGTTTGTGCTTCTATTTTTTTCTTTAATAGATCAGCACACACTCCGCAATCTTTTTTTTCCAGAATTTTAAACAATATATAGCCTGCAAAATATCGCAAGGCATTGCTATCAAACTCGTCACCAGTTGCAATATCCAAAACTTGCTCAATTTCCGTCTCGTCATCTGAGAACATCTCGAAATCGGTATTGTCTTCGTCGGTTTTTAACTCTTTGCAAGTTTTATTTAAGCTGCAGTCCTGGATAACGTTAATTAACATTGTATCTTCATCTGGGCCGCAATTACCAGATAATGATTTCGAAGTTAATATTTTCATTGATAGCATTTTTGACATTATTGTATTAAATTCTGACATCGATGGATTGTTATTTGTTACTCCGCGAGCCCTTATTAAATAAAACAAGTTTTCTAAGGGGTCTTGATTCAATTTCGCGGTTGATAAATAAAAGATTTCGGAGCTCCACACACTTTCAGATAGTGCAAGTACTGATGAAATTGTTAACATCATGCCGTCAATGCAATGTACTACTTGTGGATATTTAAATTCTGCAAAATAATTCCTCATTTCTAAGAGGTAATTGTGAACGTTATTATTATTTTGCAGTGCACACCTGTACGGATTTTTTCATACAAAACATGGCTATTGAGGCAATCAAAGAGCTTATTAACCTTTTCAATAAAATTTGCCGTAGCTTCTGCGCTATTTCGGCATTCCACAAATCCGCCAGAATCAATCACTGTTCGGATTGCGGCCGAAACAGTGTGGCTAAATATTTGTGTTGCATATTTAACTTTCATTTTTTCAAATGAGTTTGGATTTATATGCTTCGCCGTTACTTTGGGACAAAGCCTCGTTGAGTTTCTAGACTCAATTTGGTATAACTTCCTTATTATATCCCAAGATACATCTCCATCCGGCGTGTTTAAATTATTTTTTATTAAAAGGTTTCTCAATGATTTTATAAGATGTGGGGCATCAAATATTGTAAATATTTCTTTACCGTTAACATTGAAACTCGGCTTGTTTATGTTAACGCCCCATTTCTTAAATGCAGCTCTATTATTTGAGCCTTGATCGCATATTATGGCACGTACGTTTAACCCCAACGTTTGCGAAACTTCTATGTTCGCTTCAACTTTTTTTCATGAGGCAATCATGCTTAATACCGTTAGCCGAAACAGTATAGCTTAAAACGTACTTCCAATTTTCAAATAAGCCTCTAGCCATGAAGACGCATACTTGCTGCCCTAAAAATCGAGTTCTTTTTTTCACCATCATTTTCAAATCCCTGAATTTCATCGAGAGCGGTATTATATTGCAGTCCTTTTTTGATTTTTATTTCATCACAAAGGATCACTGCTTCTTTACCTTTCTCGCTCATTTCACCAACAATTTTCTGGAGGTTTTCTAGAAAATCAGGTTGAAATCCTGGCGTCATATTTTTAAAAAGAGCCCATCGACACAACGTACTTTTGGCAGGAAGTTTTAACTTTAAAACATCCCTCATGTACTCATACGTTCGCGAAGAATAAAAATTTATATTCTGGGCTATCACTTTTTCTGCGCTGTTATATGAGTTCGATTTTTTTAGCAGCATTTTGCATAATGTTTTGGCCTCATCAGAAACATGAGGTAATTTATTTATAATATTAAATAAATTTAGGGTGCTTTTTCTACTATTTCTCATACCCTTGCGTCTACTAGAATTTTTCATTAAAACAAAAGCCCTTCTCATTTTTTGCATTTTTTCTTTGTATTTTTTTAGTTCAAGAGACATCTCATAATTCTTTTTTCTGTAAAATCTCTCATTTTCTTCCCTCTTCTGGCAATTTGAACAAAAATCTTCTAACTGAGGTGAACTTTCTAAATTGGGAGTTTCTAAATTGGAAGGGCTACCTACCCTATTTAAAAACTCTTTTCTTCCTATTGGGTTAATATAAGTGCCAATTGGTTCTTCCGCCCCATCATCACAAAATTCAAATTGTTCACATGGAACAGTACTGTTCGGACGCAATAGTGAATTGTCACATAAATTTAAAGTGGGTACGGCATTGCTTCTAAGCCTACTTTTCCCAATATATTTACTTTCAAAATGTCTGTTACAAATTCGCGCAGTTCGTCTGTTAAAAGTGTCATCCAATTGGCACAATTCAACCCATTTCTTAAGATTCCTATCATCCGATGGAAAAGAAAACAATCTAACTGGAATGGAGTGTGATGAATCCCTGTAACTCCCCTGGCAGGATGCAATAATGCACTTGCGTCCATTTTTCCTAACATTAGGCCGACTCATTTCAAAAATATTTAAACCGAATATTTAAATAAATTATTTAAGGTTTAAATAACTAGATTTATACTTGCAATTGATGATGATGTAGCCACGGACGCTCGGAAAGTTTACGTTTAGTAAAAATATTTCCGAAAAATACGTTAACACACCGATACTAATCACTTTGTTCACAAAAATCAGCACTTAATTTGGTCCTCACGAAAAACGCTCCTCACAGAACAAAAATAGAATGCCGATTAAACCATTTTCCTCTTTTTCATCAAATGGCAATATTTTAGGCGGGTAAATTAGGTTGGTGGGTAAGCCAAGTGGCAACCAAAAATTACAAGAATCAAAACAAACCAGAAAAAAAATAGTTTTGGCGCGCAAGTTAACACTTTCATTGCCAAGAACTCCAAAGGCATACCACAGGGAAATGACGGTGTGTAAATACGGTAGTGACATTTTTATATTCATGTATATATTTTAAATTACACAGCAGATCATACAATAAGATATGCACTATAGATCATAAAACCATATAAGAATCCATAAGCATAAAACCAATGTAAATATATATATATATTTATATACATATATGTATATATATCTGTAACAAATTCGAGCGGCGACTTTTTAAAGTTTCTAAATATATAGGGAAATTATTAAATTAACGACAATAATTTAATAAAATCTCACAATAAACCAAAATAATAACAAGTGCCTGAAAAATTGTAAACAAAAAAGGTAAACAAGTCCATCAGCTGTTTTCGTGTCTTCACCCTCCCCTAAAAATCATTCCATCGTTAGAGTAGGCATGCACAAGCCTCTTGCAGAACAACAAAAACTTAAAAGCAATCGGCGTTTTAAGTGACTCCGACTGAAATATACTCTGACACTTTCTCAGTATATTGATTTTAATGATTCGTAAAAATATATATACAGAAAATATTTTACTACTAACACTTAATCTTATTCGTAAATAAATTAAAAATGTATGCTGAAATAATAAAAAATATAATATAAAAAATAATATAATTTCTTTCGTCATTTCATCAAATAACGAATACCTGAATTTGGTTAGGGTAGCAAGCCTGAAAAGTAAGAAAAATCAAAATTTTGTGCGCTGGCTTCGAAACGAAATCGCACGCACACATACACCCATGTATGTGAATGTGTGACACGCATACATACGAAGATCAACCGAAGCGCAGGCCAACCTTCTTCATCGCGCTCCGTTTAGAGACTGAGAAACAGAAAAAATTTAATGAGAGAATGAGCGTAAGATGAACGAACGATGAGCGTAAGAGAGCGTAAGAAATCCGCTCTGGGGCCTGCTGGGGCCTGTCGCAAGAAATTTTCGCGTCCATTTTCGTTGTATGAAATGGGTTGTCTATATGCTGTATGGTTAGTGATAGAATCCTCTTGGGAACCACCGCCATATTGGAGATCAGAATTACACCTAGTTTATGGTCTGATCAGGATCCTCTTTGAACCCATCGTCATATGGCAGATACGTGTCATCACTTTCGATTTGATTTTATATGGGATCGTTTTGTAATATAGGAGATACATTTAATAAGGGCTCTCTTGGAAACCCATGGTCAAATATGATTCTCCTGGAAGCACATCGTCATATAGCAGATACTTTGGAATTTCGATTACACTCAGTATTTGATCTTTATTAGGATTCTCTTGGGAAACCCACCGTCTTACAGGAAACAATTAGCAATTTTAATGACGTTTATAATTTTGAGATTTTGAATTTTGGTCATTTTGGAAGCAAAGGCTCGTAAAGACATCGATTGCATCACCCCACGGAAAACCCAAGCTATTGGCTGTATAGTTACTGCGAATGAGCGCTCCTCCGTTATAAAACCAGATCCTTCCAATGGGCGTCTGAGGCATCATCGCGTAACCCAGATGGCATCCACAAGCTGATAGTCATCCTCTAGCTTGCCGTTAGTGCGTCCATTGCGCTTCTCCGGAAAACAGCGGCTTGTACACTCAAATCCGACATTACAAACGAGGGTATAAAGCTTTACAAAACATTCACTTTTAACTTAATTGGACCAAAAAATATGAAGAATTTTGGAATTTTTTATAAATCGAGATGTTGACGAGAGGAGATCCGAGTTTAGACTGAACATTCTGGGTTTCATCCGAAACAGGACCAGTTATAGGGTTTTGACAGTTTGGGTCATAGACTACTTGGGTTTGTTTCTTTTTTTAATTTTGTGTGAATATTAAATATTGTGGCAGAAAACTGGGCCTATGTGTAACTTAAGTTAGAGGTGGAAAAATATGAAAGTCTAAGAGTTATTCCGGATGAGGTCCAGCGGGTGAGTTCTGGGCATCTGCTCGCTGTTGTCGAGGAGAGTGGTCGCCAACTCGTTGGGGTGGTTCTGTAGTCTCTGGATGTACTTGCTGCTGCTTCTCCGGATCTCCTCCTTCACCCATGGGAAGCCAAGAACCTGGTAGTCATGGGCTCCAGTAGCGATACGGAGGGCTTTATTTTCAAACGTCTGGATAGTCTGAATATTAGTCTTGCTGGCCGTGCCCCAAAGTTGGATCCCGTATGTCCAAATTGGCCGAAGAGGTCCTTAGCTTCGACCTCCTACCCATAAGCCAATAGTACGCCTTCAATCTAACTTCACAATGCTTTCGCTTTTTGACTAGGTGAGGCTTCCAAGTAAGCCTCCTGTCTAGCGTGAAGCCCAGGATTGGCGGTGGATTTATCGTCATTTACTTGAATATTCCACCTTTTCTGCCAATCACCGAGAAGATCTAGTTGCTCCTGCATGACAGCAGCTGCCTCTGTAGCGTTGTCAGCAGCGGTCAGGAAGGCGGTATCGTCCGCATAGGTCGCTGCCATTATGTTGGGGCTCCATTACCTTCATTACCACCAAGAAAAGACTTTGGAAATGTATGAAAATGTTAAATTTTTATTATTCTTATACCAAATTAAAATATTAATATTAATCCCGAATAAAAATATTTTTTATTATATTTTACATGTTATAATATTTTGTCCCCACACTAGCTCCAATTTGGTACACCAAAATTATTCCACCTTCGCCCAAATGATTAATAATCTTCACCACTACCCTACCGCCCACAAAAACAGCATATTTTGTTGAAATTTAAAATTTTTATTATAATCGCCAAAAATTATATTCCAAAATTCTGATAAGGTTAGTTCTGGAAAGCGCTGGACATCCTTCGGTGAAAGCCAAATACCGGGGACTCAAGTCGCACACTCATCACACATCGCATTCGAGAATGCTTCAATTTTGAAGATAAACGTCGGAATTTAAATATCGTGAAACGATAGCGAATTCATGAATTGATTGAAGGAATGGTCCCATCCCTCTAGATCAGTAAGGGCGTCTATGACAGAGCCCCGTTGCAGAGCCAGGCTCTGGACGGTGTCATCCTTGTCGACCATCTTTCCCTGGTAGTAGAATCGAAAGTTCCCAATGGGCAGGTTCGCTTCTAGGCTGTAGGCACCCATCAATTTGGCCAATTTCGAGTCACTCTTGATCAGGAACCGATAAATGGTCTCTTTATCAGCCAGCACCTTGATGTAAACGCGATCGTCTTCTTCCATGGAAGCTTTCTTGGATTCCGTGTTGGGCTTGACCTGGTTGGGCTGGACAGTATCTAACGCGGGCTGCCCGGATATTTCCTTCTCCTCGTCATCGTCCTTTACGAAAGATACCTCCGGTGCCGCATTCTCAGGAACTACGGCAGCGATGGGGCTCTGGGTTTCCTTGGCATTCTGCGACCCTTGGGAGGAAGCAACTCCAGACACTCCGAACGAGATCTCCGATTCGGTGATCGAGGCGTAGGACGAAAAAACGGTTGTATCAGACATGGTTACTTGAATTCGAAATTCCTTGTACTAAATTACAAAATGTATAAATTATTATGAATTTTGAAACTGAGCTGTGATGTTAGCTCTAGGAAACTCGTTGTTATACTGATCCTTCTACAGATCATCCGAACGGCTCCGGACTTTTCAAGTCATGGACTACTATTAGTCCCAGATTTTGATGAATCTTTTACATCCAATGTTTTTTTTATGCAATAAGAAACTACATATTGCGAAATTCATTAATAAGACATGAGAAGGTTAAATAGCCAACAGACTAATGACCAAACGGGTCAAAAACATGTCCCTGTACAAAAACCATTATAGAATACAATACTCTGCTTAAAAAATCCTTAAAACCGTAAAAACCTCAATGATATCTTCGTGTTTCATGACCATCTATATCCATATCTCACCGCGAATGAACCTCAAAGCAATGGTCGGCAGGGTGTCCCCACAAGAGTCTATAAATTACAGAGCCACTATTCAGAATATAGTACTACATAGTTTATAAAAAAATGCAATTTTGGCTTTAAATTTTCTTGTTTACTGAATTACAAAAAAAAAACGCAAGATCGTTCTTTCTTGTCGTCGTACTGATGATTCGCTGACAGCGCACGGAAGGTCTTAGAACTAAAGAGATGATGCATTTGAGTATGATGCGCAATACGTTGGATGCTGGATGCTGGATGCACTAATGCCGTGGTGTGTAGTTAGTCTAGCTGGAAAATTTCCTAATTTGCGTTACATATTTGCTGCCGCTGGCCTGGTCGAAAAATAGCTGCCTAGCGGTCCCGGAAAAGCACCGAATGGAGTGCATCAATGTCCACCTCCACGCCCGAGGAGTTGGTGGTAACTGTGCGAGAGCTGCAGAAGAAGAAGTATGAGTCTCGAGTGCTATACACTCCAATGGAATATTGAAGTACGCTCACCTTGCCGATCGCGAGGATCGGTTGGACGAGTGCGGATTGACCAGCACACAATGCATGGGCTGGTCATCAAACTCGCGATGGTGGTACGCCTCCACAGCCATTTCGGCATGCTCCAAAGTCTTGTATATAACCTCGGCGGTGCCGGGGCGCACGACATGGGCATCGTACATGGGCCCTATATCGTTGAAAAGCTCACGAATATCAGCCGTGGTTACGTTCGCGTGTAGATTGCTGACTAGAAGACGGTAGCCAGCCTTGTTGTTGGCCGCACCCAGAGGTGGAGAACGGCGTGAAGATTTTGATTGGGTCAAAGTGGATCCAGAAGAGCCACCGGCAGCGCTGCCGCCTCCGCTGCTGCTACCGCCACTACCACCGGTTCCGCTGCGGCCGCCCCTGGGGACGACCTGTCTGGCACTACCCCTATTTCTATTTTCATTAGCATAGATTCCATGGGAGACACGGCGATCCGGTTCGCCGCCAAACAAACGGGCACGCAGCGACTCCGGCAGATTGGTGGTGGGCACTATGTTACGCTGGCGGCGCTCAAAAAGCTTATCAACCGTATCCGAACGGCCCACAATAAGCGGAGATGGCAGCGAGGGGCGCTCGATACGATTGCGAGCCGCCTCGTATATGGCAAACGGATCATTGGCAATGTTGTTCTTTAGCGGAGCTGTGGACATCTCCACGTCGTCGTCCCGATTTAAATCGTAGCCACCAAACGTGTAGCGTGCTGGCGGCTGGTTAGTGTAGTTGCCAAAATGCAAAGTTCGGCTTATTTCCTCTGGAAAAGAATAGTTTTAAACGATTTTCGGATATCATTGCCCATTACTAACCCTCTTCAAGTTCCTGCATATTATCATGATCTACGTAGCCGCGAGGCACAAATGCCTTGGACGCCGGGTTCAATTTGGATCCGTTAAACCGTCTGGTCGGCGGACCACGATCGTCATCAGACTCTGAATCGTAGCCGGCCTCGATAACTCCACCACCAGACCGGTCGGACATAGTGATAGTGCGTTGTCCAAAATGGCCCAGGTGGACGCCCACTCCTCGAGCATGACGCGAAATGCTACGCACAGGCGGCGGCGGCAGGGACAGGGATTCGTCGGACGAGTTGACGTCAAGTCGCTCCTTCTTACGCTCGAGCAGTAACTGACGGGCATCGATGCCCGACTCGCGCATGTTTTGGTTGAGTATTTCGCGGGCATCCGCAATCTTGGCACGTGTCTTCTGAATGATTTTGTTCCGGGCATCAAAGGAGCGCGGCACCGGCTGATCCGACTGCATGCCCCCTTGTCCTGGTCCAGCCTTAAATGCCGGCTTGTTAAGTAATTTGGGACGCGGCTTCGTATAGCTCGCAGTACTGCAATTCATCCATTGAATACCCATTCTCCCATAAACGCCATTTTCAGTTTATTTAACTTACAATTTTTTGTCAATTGGCCGGCCTCCTCCTTGAGCGCGCTTTCGCTCTATAATCTCGTCCAGACTTAGGTCGATGTCCATGGCTAGTTAGTTTGTAAACGCGCGCTGCGCCGTTGCAATTATTCCAAAATGTTTCTAAATATGTGAATGAAAAATTTTTTAATTTTCGGAAAAAAATATTAAGAGAAGCGGTGGCTTTTCAGTGATGGAAAAGGCAAATATAATCAGTGTGGCCAGTTAAGTATAACAATATCGATAAGATTTTGAAAATATCGACATTTTTATGCGATAGTAATGAATTTTTCATGTTTGTTTTGCGTATATTTTAAATTTTTATTTTAATCAGACTTAGAATCTAATTTATAATCCTATCATAACTCTCTAATTTTGGGAGTACAAAATAGTTCGAACAGTGACTGTTGAAAACGGACCAAACTTATGGTAACACCAATAATAAAAAAAAATAAATATATTAATACGCATTTTAGTTTTGGTTTTTAGAATTTAAGAAATTGTTTTATAAATTAAAGTTTATTTAGAAAAAAGTATTTCGCTTCTTGCATACATCATTTAATTTTTATTAAAAAATAAAACGCAATCGTATTTATTGAATCAGTTCCCCAATTTGGAACATGATTATAATGTATGATTTGTGAACCACAATTTAAGAATGTAATTGCAAGTGCTACACTACTGAGTCTTCTTATCGTCCTTGGAGCTCTTGCCAGTGGGCTCGTCTTTGAAGTGCAGGAAAACGAAAGAGAAGACAAACACCCCGATCATCATCGAGAAGGCGCTGGTGTAGTAGGGAAAGGCGCTTGGAATGAATCGCTCGTACTGGGTGTGCTCCAGGGGCCGCACTGACACCTGGGTGGTGCTGTACAAGTGCGTGTAGCCGACACGATCGTAATCCACCTTGAACTGGTACACTCCGTAGACGTCAGGAATCTTGAACTTGGCTTCGTAGGCTCCGGTCTTTGTTTGCTTCAGATAGGTGCGCACGAAGGGATCTATGCGGACAAACTCCAGCTGAATATCGTTGGCCTTGAAGGCGCGCCACTGTCCATCCACCAGCTCTTCAATGGCGATGGTGTAGACGACGGGATCGGTGATGGTGTAGGCCTGCTCTGGCGGTAAGCGTTCGCCCTCCTTGTTGTGCTGCACAGAACCGACGCGAAGACGTCCGGTTTCACCGAACACCCACTGGCTGATGGACTCGGCTACAGCCCGGTTTCCGGCCTGCTTGTGGAAGACTCCACTCTGGGCGTACTGTACTGCCGTGGTGAAGCTCTCGTCGGAGAAGAAGACCAGGGAACCGGAGAACACCACACGGGCGTTGTTTCTTGCCTGGAGGGCAGCAATCAGTAGGGTACCACGGCCCACAGCATGCGGGTAATCTGTAACGCTGGAATCGGGGTTGTAGCTGTAGGCACTGCTTTCGGCTGTGAGGACTTTCAGGACCAGAGGGTTCTCCTTGTCGGCAATAAGACCAGTGCCGCGGTAAATCAGAGGGGCTGCGTCCGATTTTCTATTTGCCTTGCCCACGATGGTGTCCGCCTGGATGAGGTTCTTGGCCGAAGTGAGGATGGTGGTGTGGTCTCCAGCATCGCTGGCATCGTAATTCAGATGGTCAATCACCGCGGCATTCTCCTCGTCCAGCTCGAAGCCACATTCCGAGGCGAATTCGCGCAGAGCATCGCCGGATTTCTCGCTGCCTGCCACCAGAACATTGCCGCCATCGTCCACAAACTGAGCCAGTCGTTCTACGCTGATGTCTCCACCGAATTCCTCGACACTTGGGGCAAAGATGATCACGTTCTTGTAGAGATACTCCCCATACCGGGAAAGCAGCAGACTGGAGTCATCCGCCAACTTGTATGTGAGTTTGAAGCCTCGATCTGAAAAGAAAGATTTCGTTAGTTGAGATACTTAGGAGGTAATATTCTCCTAAATGAGTATCAGCTTAGCACTCTTCAAGAATCGACGGGTGGCAACCGCCCCAATCATCCCATGAACTTTTGTCCACGTCAGAGGTTAGCCGGCATTTTCATTTTACCTTGCAGCGATTTGAAGAAAATGGAGTGGGTTTCGCGGATGGCCAGGTTGTCTAGTAGCACCAAGGTGTTAGCATCCGTTTCCAGGACCGCCTGGCAGTGCACAAATGCCAGGACGGTAATTAGCAGAGCCTTCCACATCATTTTTCGAACTACTTTCCGGCTCTTTTCACCAAACACACAAAAAAAAAATGATGGCCGCAATGTGCCCAGATGCAAGTTATTTTCAAAAATACCATATTTTCCCTTCGGTACAGTTTTTAAATTTTTAATAAATTTAAACATTTATATTTTAAATTTAATAATTATTTTCATGTCAATTTATTTTAATATTTAAAAAGAGTTTAGTTTTTTTAAATAAATTAAATTGCATGGTTTTTTTATACGGTCCCACTGTTGGCTCAAAAAAACAAACTCTCACGATTGAAGAACTTTTTGGAAAAACTGAAGCGAAATGGACATTTTTGAGAGCTTCTGCCGAACCTGTGGCAACGAGTGCCTGGAGCCATTGAACATCTTCGAGGAGAGCACCAAAACAATGGACAAATTGGTTCCCATCGCCGAGCTGATGTCCACTTGCCTTCCTGCCAGTTTGCCGCCTCTGGACTTCGCAGATGATTACCCCAAACAAATATGTCGCATTTGCCTAAGGAAGCTATCCCTGGCCTACGAATTCCATCACCAGTGGCTCGGAGCCTACAGCGAGTTTAATGTGGCACTGAAATTCGAGCAGCGCAGGAAGCGAAGCATTGCTAACAAAACACAGAAATCAAAAACAGATGAGACACCACAGACACCCGTGGAGCGCGTCGAGGAGGCTTCGCCGGAGGTAGCGGATGCCGATTGGATGGGTTCCCTGGCTGAAGAAGCACCCACTTCTGCCCAAGAGAAGGAAGTTAAAAGTACGAGTGGTATGGACAAACAAAGTTGTGCACGGCGGCATCGGTGCACCGTTTGCAATGAGCGATTCCTCACAGAAAAAGCTTGGCGTTTTCATTACAAATTCGCACACAAGTCTCAAGAATAATCATCGTTTGGAAGAAGTCTTCAAATGACCATATTATCTTTGCAAAGGTCTCTAGACCTATCTATCTCAAGTTAGAATCCAACATGTATAGTCTCTAAAACAAGCTCCACTAGATAAAACATATCCTTCTGTACATATAGATTTTTTTACTTAGCTTTAGCATGAACAAAAAAAAGGAAAGCTGAGAATGAGACTACCGGCTGGCGAAGATTCTATCCCATGTTCTGTCTCCATCCGTTTAGTCGTCCTCATCGTTGCGCACCTTTTCGGCACGAGGATCGTCATGGCGGAAGACAACATAGCCCAGCTTGTAGCGACGGTTGTCACCATCCTTAGCATAGTAGTTGGCCACTCCGATAGTGGCCATAACAATTCCGCAAAGTGCCAGAGCGGATCCACCGACAATATCGGGAATCTCGTTCCAGGCGCGCTTCAACAGCGACGTAGAGCCACGGGCAGCGTTTGCCGACATCTTGTGATCTGTGGGGTATATTTCCACATCAAATCAAAGCAGTTAAAAGCACTATTTTGCCAATATTTACCAGAAATTCAAGCGTTTAAGTTACACAACAAGAGGCAAGCAGCTGCTGCAGGTGATGGCACTTGATTCCCTTGAAGGTATCGATAGTTTCAATTTATCTATCGTAACTGCAGCTAATTGTGACTTATTTCGAAAAAATGCAATTTAATTGCAATTTTCTAGTGAGATTTAAGTTTTGAAAGAAATATCAAAATAACTTTATTTCAATTTGTAACGGAATTTAAAATGAACACTACATGATGCTACTAGATTTGTTATTTTTTTCATTAACAATTTTCACATAATTTAATATGTTATGTTCTGCATACCGGATTAGAATCTGGAAGCTAAACATAATTTATAAAATTATAATATATATATCAATTTAGTAAATAGTATTTTAGAATTTAAATTTGGTGGCTCCATGCACTTGCACCACTTGGTCACACTTGCATTTAGTTCGCGCATCGTCTGAGCAAAAAAAAAAGACTAATTGAAGTCGGCGAATTTGGCAAAGTGAGAGTGCAAAAAATAGGTAACTCTCGGATTGTTGTTGTTATTGATGCATCATTGAGTCGAACGGGGAACCTGCAAACGAAATCATTCACCTGCCAGCGGGAATAAGACGGAGATTTTGCAGCTGGTCGTCCCCCACCGCCTCCGCCGACGTTCCCTGCCCCTTCCCCCATCGGACGCCGCCGCCGCCGCCGCTGTTCGTGGATTGTTGTTGTTTTTCCCTCGAAAATTTTCGTTAGTTTTCGTTTCGTTGTTTGTTTATTGAAACGAAAGTACAGCGGAAAAGGAGCTGGGAGAGGAGCAGGACCACTAACTGGAATCGGAGCTAGCGCAGGAGCCGGAAGAGTGCCGTGAAAATGTCGAAGAACAAGCTGAACCTGGTGCTGCCGCCGGTGAATTCGGAGGCAACTGGTGCGGCCACCCAAGTGGCACCCACACCGCCATTCAAAACCCCCTCGGGCACAGAGTAAATATCCCATTCAGCCATCTAACTAGAATATAATGCAATTTTAATCCCCATTCTCACTCCCATTTCCAAGTTTTCATTTATCAAAGGTGCTCTTTCGTGCAGGGTTTTTCCTTTTGTTTCCTTTGATAAGATTACAATTAAGTTGCAAGCCCGATGATTCGAGGAAATCCAATCCGCCCAAGGAAAGAGAGTGAGGCGAGAGAGAGAGTTGTCGGCCAGGTTGCTCTCTTTTTCGCTGGTGTGGGTACTTTGGGCCGTTCTTTTGGGCTTCTTATGACGCAGGCAACCCGCCCACACCTGCCAACAATGCCAGTCAAGATCCTAGGACTCCAAGTCAAAAGTTTATTTTAAATAAAAACTAAATATATTAACTAAAGTAATTGGGAGAATAATTGGAAAAATTAAGTCTCTTTTTTCCAAAAAATAATGTCAAAGTTGTTAGAAAAATGCTATTACACTAACCGGTATTGTAAACAGAAACCAAAAGAAGTCGCGAAAGTGCACCCTCACCTCACCCACACACCCACACCATCCACCATCCAACCCTAAACCCAGTCCTGCAACTCATACCCCGGCATCCCCTCGCATCCCGTTTTCAATTTTTCGTTTTGACTCGCAAAAATTCATTAAGAGGTTAAATTAAAGCACACACAGTTTGCTGGGCAAGCCGAAGACGAGCATCGATGCGCTGACGGAGACACTGGAGGGCCTGGACATGGACGACACGGAACGGAAAAGGATCAAGGTCTTCCTCAGCCAAAAGGAGAAGATCGGCGAGCTGTCGGACGAGGATCTGGAGAAGCTCGGCGAGCTGGGCTCCGGCAACGGAGGCGTCGTCATGAAGGTCCGGCACACGCACACACACCTGATAATGGCCAGGAAACTGATCCACCTGGAGGTGAAGCCGGCGATCAAGAAACAGATCCTGCGCGAGCTAAAGGTCCTCCACGAATGCAACTTCCCGCACATCGTCGGATTCTACGGCGCCTTTTACAGTGACGGTGAAATCAGCATCTGCATGGAATACATGGATGGGGGATCCCTCGATCTGATCCTGAAGCGGGCTGGCCGGATACCAGAGTCGATTCTGGGCCGGATAACACTGGCCGTGCTGAAGGGATTGAGCTACCTGCGCGACAAGCACGCCATCATCCATCGGGACGTGAAGCCGAGCAATATTCTCGTCAATAGCAGCGGCGAGATAAAGATCTGTGATTTCGGCGTTTCCGGCCAGTTGATAGACTCCATGGCCAACTCGTTTGTGGGCACCCGCAGCTACATGTCGGTGAGTGGGCTAAGGATCCTCTAAATCTAAAGATGGTTCAATTGTATTGGGTAACCTTGGGCAAGCATGTACTGATTACTAATCTTGGGTATTCTTCCAGCCGGAGCGACTGCAGGGCACTCACTACTCCGTGCAGTCGGACATCTGGTCGCTGGGCCTGTCACTGGTGGAAATGGCCATTGGCATGTACCCGATCCCGCCGCCGAACACCGCCACGTTAGAGTCAATATTCGCGGACAATGCCGAGGAGGGTGGCCAGCCGGTGGACGAGCCGCGGGCAATGGCCATATTCGAGCTTCTGGACTACATTGTGAACGAACCGCCGCCAAAGCTGGAGCACAAGATATTCTCCAACGAGTTCAAGGACTTTGTGGACATTTGCTTGAAGAAGCAGCCCGACGAGCGAGCCGATCTCAAGACCCTGCTGGTACGCAATATCTACGCACACATGCCACATGGCAATGCACTTATTTGCATCTATTCTCTTGCAGAGTCATCCGTGGATACGCAAGGCGGAGGTGGAGGAGGTGGATATATCGGGATGGGTGTGCAAGACAATGGATCTGCCGCCGTCGACGCCAAAGCGCAATACGTCGCCCAACTAGATGCAGATGCAGCTGTAAGGCATTCACTACATCATAGGCATCTCCGGCATCTCGGGTGCACTTCGGGGCACCCCGATCCCGATCCGATCTTCATTACCTTCCTATATCCGCTCACGCATACACGTTATTTATTTGTATGTAGCCATGTACTGTTGTATCATATGTAGGCGGGTATATATACGTTTTAGGTATATGCATGTTATATATATCCATTTCTTTCGATTCCTTCCGACCTCTATCTGTATGTGTCCCCCATCACACGACCCCTGTCCCCGTCTCCCGATTTGGCTTTGGCTGCATCTTCGCCGCACAAAGCCAGACAACTGAATGAAAGAACTTGCAATTAAATCGAAAATAAAGAAATCGAAGTCATACCATGTACGGTGAGAAATGCATCCCGATTTGTGAATGGGCATGGGGGAGTCGGTCGGATCTCTTTGTTTTGAAGTTGCACAAAGGGGGAATGACTATTCCTGCGCTGTAAAGCACTGTGTGGAATGCTTGCCTTCCAAGATGCAGCGCAGTATTCATGCCATTTTGGATATAGCTTGGATTCCCTGGACAAACCCCAGAAGGACTTACAATCTAACCTAAAATTTAGCAGCCCCTGATTCAAGCATTGAAATATTTTTCAATCCATGTAGAATATGGCATCTTAGGAGGCTATGCATCTCAAACGTCAAAGTCAAATTCTGAGCTGGGTCGGCTCCAGTTCACCAGTCTCATTTGTCAACCGACTTCAGCGGCATACACATCTCAAAATCTAATATTTTTTTTGTAACCCTTCCGCCCCCAATTTTCTAACTTTTCGATACAATGTCTTGGTATATGCGAATGTTCCGCCCGTTGCCACGCACCATGGACCAGGTCGTGCGACACGGTTGGTTGCGACAAGGCTCAGGAGTATTTGTCGCCGCTGATTATAAGGGAGCAAGCCCCATTGGACACAGCATTGCGATGTACAATATTACTGGCCGACGACCCATCTCCACTGGCAACTGGCACGGAAAGGAGCATCAAAATCCCCTGGCGGAGCAGGAACAGGAGGAACATAAGGAACAGGAGCAGAAGAAGAAGCGAGAAAATCATCATGGTTTCACACTGAATCCGAAAAAGGCTGAGGTGACCCCATTGGAACGCCATCTGGTCGAGTTTCTAACCGGGGAAATCATCGAGGAACGCCGGATACAATTGAAACTGAATGCGCCGCTACTTCTGGACGACTATGTGGCCATATTCCGCGGTTCGGAGGTCGAGTTGGTGAAGACAACACCCAAGGAGCGGGTCACCATCGTCTTTAATGTCAGCAAGAGTGTGCCGCCAACCGTTCATGATGAAAGCACTCCGATGCGGAGTGTTCCCAAGTTCGAGGTCCTGATCAAGCGGGACGAGGTCCTGCTCGCACTTCACTGCCAATTTTTCCAGACGGCCTTCAAGGATGACACGGAGGGGGAGCCGAAGCCGAATCAAAAGTATGCCGACATGTTCTACATTAAAGACGTGTCATTGTACGAGCACGACTGCACCGACCGCTCATATACCATTGAGGCCAGCCTGTTTGTCGATGATCTCTACGACCTTCTTATGGATATGCTGGCCGAGGTGGGGATCACCAACGAGTTTGTCGAGAAGGTCTCGGACTTGGCCACCGCCCACGAGCATGCCTCATACATTGAGTTTCTGGAAAACTTGTCCAAATTCGCGGTGGGTCCGCCGCCGCCACTTGGTGGCGATGATGGTGGCACCGAATAGCTTTCTACCAGTCTAATTTTTGTATAATTTTCAATAAAGACGCGTGTTTGAACTGCGCGCTTCCAATCTAAGGATACTTTTCCGTGGTGTTTTTCAACACTTTTTTTTCAGTTCCTAGAGATGACATTTAATCCTAACACAAGGCTTAAGCTACTTTGGTTTAAAAATTAAGAATAAAAGGGAGCCTTAAAATGAAGAATTGTGTAACAACTCAATGTCACAAATTTTTTTCATTTCAAATTTTATTGGAAATGATTATTTTTTTAGGAGAGTTATGCTTTTTTGACAACAAATTCTTTATTTCGATATTTTTTTCAATTGGTCTACCAACACTGCCAAAAATCTAGCGATAATCGGCTAAAGAATAACCGTTATATCTGGCAACTCGAGCTGGGACGCCAAATTGAGCCACCTCTAGCTGGTAGTCAAAATAATTACCAGTAACAGCTGTGGCTGTAGCAAGTTAGTTGTGCATGCAAGCACATATAAGTTGTGACGATCTCTGATAACCGATTTACTTCTACAGACTAGGGCTCAGAACGCAATTGAAATAATGTGCGGGAGCGCATCTTCCTATCTAATTGAAGACGCAACAGTAACAACAAAAAGAAATTGAAAGGAAAAAAAAAACAAAACAAAAAAAAACAAAACTGAAAAGAAAACAAAACGCAATGCTGAGAGTGTGAAGAGTGCAGAGCGAAAGAGAGGGCAGCGACAAATTGAGGCAAGACAGCAGGCGCGCGTTCTTTGTTGCAAATTATAGTTGGCTGCGATCCGAACCATTCCACACCATTCCAATAAGCGTGCGGGGATCCGTCGTCGACAATAGCTGCAAGACAGAGCTCCGATGCGGACGTGCCGCAACCGAAAGCTCTCTTTCTAAGCGGGAAATAATAACGGGACAACAGCAGCAGCAGCAGCAGCATCGTAGCACACAAATCAGTAGCATCGGCATCAGGGCGCCATGTCGGCGGTCAACAATCAAAAGGAGAGCCCCAGTCGGGACTCGACAGCTTCCACATCCGGTCACATTTCCATGCTGGCGGACAACACGATGGGATCACTGTCCCGAGACTATAGCCTGGGCAGCCTGAACTCGACCGGAAGCCAGGACGAGTTCTTCCGGTGCCGGGATCATGCCGACAATATCCTCAAGAAGATGCAGCTCTACATGGACAGCCAGCAGCTGTGCGACGTAGTCCTGATCGCGGGCATCGATGGCAAGCGGTGAGTGCTGGAAGTGGTACATTCAAGAGTTAGGGCCTCCCACATGGCCACATCCAACATGTCCCAGAGACAAAGGAATATTTCTGAATTGGAAAGTTCATTAGCAATTCCCCCCTCCCCTCCTCCGCTGACCTTCACTTCGGCGCAGTTCACTTGGGTTCTTTGTCTGTTTTCCGTTTTCTCTGCTGCGCTGTCCCCAACGCAATTTCAACAGTAAACACTAACACACAGGCGCGTGCATGCAGGAACAGTTGGGGGCAGCAGAAAAGTACTCAAATTGCATTGAGCCGGAAGTCAGTCTGTTCCTCTCGGATTTTTCTGCTTAAATTGCAATTCTAAGCTTTGAAATGGTAGCCTTAGCTTAGGTTTCTATTTCATTTGTAGTAATTTTGGTGTTTCATTGTTTAAACAGATGTCCATAGTCAAGAAGAACGCTTACTTTTTTAGAGGTTCTTAATAAGAAAAGTAACAGCTGTTTATAAGACCAATTTTTCAGCGAATAAATTGTATACAAGCTTCGGTTTCATTCAATTAAACTTTTAATTCATAAAAGATAAAAGAAATATGTCTTCAGTTTCCAATTATGTATACTATATATATATATAACATCAACATGAGAATACAATTAGATTCCTCATTGATTTATGGAAAGTTTTCTTTCTATATGTATTTTTATTGCTTTTCCCATGATTTCTTGGAAAGGTTTTATTACTCAATTGTTATTAATTACGTTATTGTTGATATTGATAAAGCTATTACACTTTGCTTATCAGTGAAACATGCTGATAAAATAAAGAGTTTTATCATAAATTTAAAATTGTGGAAATTCTGACTGTCTAATGAGTTTAATGAACTTCTAGAAGATACCCCTATTTATTAACTAGGATTAACTATATTTTTGGCCGTTGCTGTGAACGCGTCGCACTAATTGCGACTTCTGCAAAAAGAGAGAACAAGAGAGAGATCCCAAAGCCCAACAATTGAAAGCCTCACACTGAGATAGAAGGAGACGGGACGAATAACAGTTGCAGTTCCGTAGTTTGTTTTGAGTTTCGCTTTGGTTTCGGTTTCGGTTTCGGGGGGAGAGACAACAACAGAAACAGAGACTGAAAACAAAACAAAAACAACTCCATCGTAGAAAAGATATAGATTCAACGATTTCTGATCAAGATTTGTGTGCACTGCTCCCAGTCCCAGTCCCAGTGCAGTTGCAGCTTTATTTGATTTCTTATGCAGCTCGCTGCTCTGAACCGGTTTCGGGTCGCAGAAACCTGCCGATCTGTGCCATGGTAAACAAAGGGGCAAGAACCAAGACTCGCTACTTCAACTGGCATGCAGAGTACTATGGTGCTATGGCGCTCTATGGTGCAGTGCGTTTCATAAATGTAAATAATTGTTTTAATTTAATTTTTAATTTTGTAGTTTACATTATCATAATATTATTTTATTTGTTATTCAAATGCTTTATTATATTAAAATTTTAAATATAATATTATGTATATAGAGTGCCTGCTCACCGTTTGGTGCTATCGGCGTCGAGCGCCTACTTCTCCGCCATGTTCACCGGATCGCTGCGCGAGACCAAGGAACAGGAGGTAACCCTCGGCGAGGTGCACGGCGATGCACTGCATCTGCTGGTGCAATATTGCTACACCGGATTCATCGAGATGCGCGAGGATACGGTGGAGACGCTGCTGGCCACCGCCTGCCTCCTTCAGCTCAATTCTGTAGTCACTGCCTGCTGCAACTTCCTCGCCCGCCAGTTGCATCCGTCGAACTGCCTGGGATTCGCCTTCTTTGCGGAGCAGCAGAGCTGCACCACCTTGCTGCGCTTGGCCCAGGCCTATACCTGCCAGTACTTCACACAAGTGTGCCAGAACCAGGAGTTCTTCCAGCTAAACGCCGACCAGCTGGGTAAGCTGCTGTGCAGCGATGATCTCAACGTGCCCACGGAGCAGGAAGTCTTCCACAGCCTTATGTCTTGGGTGCGTCACGATTCCCCCGCCAGGGAGCAGCATATCCCCGAGCTGCTGGCCTTGGTACGACTCCCCTTGTTGCAGCCCGGGTTCATCATGGATCATGTGGAGAACGTCTGCAATGCCAACGAGTGCCAGCAGCTGGTGATGGAGGCCTTCAAGTGGCACTTGATGCCCGAGCGCAGATCCCGGATCGCCACCGAACGCACCACACCGCGCAAGTCGACGGTGGGTCGCCTCTTGGCTGTCGGGGGCATGGATGCCCACAAGGGCACCATTAGCATTGAGAGCTACTGTCCGCGGCTGGACAAGTGGACACCTTGGAAGCACATGACCGGCCGTCGGCTGCAATTCGGCGCCGCCGTTATGGAGGATAAGCTTATATTAGTCGGTGGCAGGGATGGACTGAAGACCCTGAACACTGTGGAGAGTCTGGACCTGAATACGATGACCTGGGCACCGCTGAATGCAATGGCCACGCCGCGTCATGGCCTAGGAGTGGCGGTGCTGGAGGGTCCGCTATATGCCGTGGGCGGACACGATGGCTGGAGTTACCTGAACACAGTGGAGAGGTGGGTTATATTTCATCAATTTTTATCAAGTCAATACAATTAATTATTAATCCAAACCAGATGGGATCCCGTGGCGCGCACCTGGAGCTATGTGGCTCCCATGTCTTCAATGCGTTCTACTGCTGGAGTGGCCGTACTGGGTGGTCGCCTGTATGCGGTGGGAGGACGCGATGGATCTGTCTGCCATCGCTCCATCGAATGCTACGATCCGCACACCAACAAATGGAGTCTTCTGGCGCCGATGAATAGACGCCGCGGCGGCGTGGGCGTAAGACTCCGGAATACTATACTACACTATACTTGTGACAAAGCTTAAGAATGTGTATTTCTGATTTTCAGGTAACGGTGGCCAATGGCTTCTTGTACGCTCTGGGCGGTCACGACTGCCCGGCCAGCAACCCCATGGTGTGTCGCACGGAGACGGTGGAGCGTTACGATCCAGCCACCGATACTTGGACATTGGTGAGCTAGAAATGAATGCGTTTCAATACATTTTTGATGATTGTTCCTGTGTAGATCTGCGCTTTGGCTCTGGGACGAGATGCCATTGGTTGTGCCCTGCTCGGCGATCGCCTAATTGTCGTTGGCGGCTACGACGGCAACCAGGCCCTGAAGAACGTCGAGGAGTACGATCCGGTGCGCAACGGATGGAACGAACTGGCGCCGATGTCGTTCGCCAGAGCCGGCGCCTGTGTGGTGGCCATTCCGAATGTCATACCGCCGGCGGCCCACCAGCCACCGCCCAGTGCTACAGTTTAGTCTAAACCCACTCCACTTTCGGTTCCAGTGTAGTGGCCCTCCAATGCATCGTCATTTGTACAGGAGTTTCAATCGATAATTATCAAAAAACTAGTTGAATGGTTAACCGATTTATGTTTTTAGATAGGACTTGATCATTTTCGATCTTTAAAACTGCAAGTCAAGGTTTTGGAAGTGAAGCTACCTCTTTCACTTGCCAAAACTATGCCTTGGAGTTGAAACAAGTTGTGTAAGCTTTGGTTATTCATGAGTTATATTATCCAGGAGCGATGCATTTGGTGGCCATTACCCTGAAACCAATTCTATTGTAGTCGTTGTTGCTGTTGCTATTTGCTCGTGTTTTAAATAACCCGGCCAAGTTATGTAAAAGCGCAGCTCACACTCGCCTCGCTCTCGTCTGTGTTCTCTGACATGATTCCTTTTTCGGTTTGGTATGGTCCCCCGATCCCTTATCCTTCCAGTTCCTAAAAATTTGTGGCTAAAAAAAAAGTAGAAACAAAAGAACAGTTTGTTCCAAAAAAAATGTCCAGTGAAATCTCATAAATTTTAAGAAGTGCATGCTGCGAGGCTTTCCCACCCCCTAGCTGTAATTAACCATCGTAGCTTAATGAAGTTCTTTGAGTTCTGTAATCATATATGTACCCTTACCACATACACTTGACCATCCACTTCCAATCTATCCTCTTCCCGGTGTTGTACACTGCATTTCGCCTGACATTTGGTGACAGTTGGTACCCAAGCATTCCATCAAAATCGTCCGTCTACATTTTAGAATCTAGATAAGACTGCGCCAAGCCAAAATTCCAAAAAAAAAAACAAAATTAATTTACAGACGACCACAATCAAAAAAGACACCTACAACTGTTTATAATTAGTTAGTAACTAAATAGAATTAAAAGAATGTCAATGGCATTTTGCAGCTAAGATTTCCGTTGAATGATTTCCGAATTTCGATTTCAGTTGCATGTTGCATCGTATCGTCATTTTGTGCCCCCGATATTAGCCTTAGCCAGTATTCCTGTATCTTTAACTCTTACATTCTACATATATATACCTATATCTTTATATATACCTATAATTTAGTTGTGTGTGTGTGCATATAGAAACGAGCATTTATTTCTAATAGTTTATTTTGTTTTTGTTTCTTTTTCTTTTATTCCCTTTTTTATTACGAAAAAAACAAAACAAAAAATGACAAAAATATATTTGCATTTAACGCGCGCGTGTGTTCTGTAGAAAAAGAAGAAGTGGAAGCCTGTGAGATTGGATCCAATCTGCTACAGTAGGCGTCCGAGATCGGTCGAGTTTGTCGACTTCTATAACATGTAAATGCAAAAACACAGAAAACAAACAAACAGACAACCAACAATCAAACTAAACAAACTATAAACATTTAAGACGCCCATCTGGGGAAACAGAAATGAAAATTATTTTACAAAAACCAAAAAAAAACAAAAAAAGGAAGAAAAACAAACAATTCCCATTGACTTTAATCAAAATGGAAGTGTAATTCAAATATTATATTATTTTATATTTACACATATATATATTTTTACACAAAACATACACTATGCATAAATGTATACCCTGAATATGTATTTTTTGTAATAAAAAACAAGACGTGCAGCTGCCAGTGCAAGAATAAAGCCCGAAATCTGAAAGGATATCTGTTTGTATTACGGGATTGAGGAGATATGTATCGGATCGGATGTAATTGGACAATAGCTTTGAAACTAAGGGACTAGTACACGTAGTCAGACAGATGGAAACTAATATCAATTTAGGACCTCAATTTTAGGTGAAGATATAGTATATATCAAATTTCGGATATGGGTAATTCTCCAGAAAGGGCAACTACAACCCAACAATTCAAAGTCAATGTAATTTCTAAGGATAATCTATTAAATTTACCTAAAACAATCCAGTCAATTTTTACAATTAGTCATAACAACATTTGAATTATTTAATGAAACATTTTTCTCAAAGATAGTAATGCATGGATATCATAGCTTTTTTTTTAATTTAAAATTTTTATTATAATTGCCATACATTATATTCCAAAATTCTAATAAGGTTAGTTCTGGAAAGCGCTGGACATCCTTCGGTGAAAGCCAAATACCGGGGACTCAAGTCGCACACTCATCACACATCGCATCAGACAATGCTTTAATTTTGAAGATAAACGTCGGAATTTAAATATCGTGAAACGATAGCGAATTCATGAATTGATTGAAGGAATGGTCCCATCCCTCTAGATCAGTAAGGGCGTCTATGACAGAGCCCCGATGCAGAGCCAGGCTCTGGACGGTGTCATCCTTGTCGACCATCTTTCCCTGGTAGTAGAATCGAAAGTTCCCAATGGGCAGGTTCGCTTCTAGGCTGTAGGCACCCATCAATTTGGCCAATTTCGAGTCACTCTTGATCAGGAACCGATAAATGGTCTCTTTATCAGCCAGCACCTTGATGTAAACGCGATCGTCTTCTTCCATGGAAGCTTTCCTGGATTCCGTGTTGGGCTTGACCTGGTTGGGCTGGACAGTATCTAACGCGGGCTGCCCGGATATTTCCTTCTCCTCGTCATCGTCCTTTACGAAAGATACCTCCGGTGCCGCATTCTCAGGAACTACAGCAGCGACGGGACTCTGGGTTTCCTTGGCATTCTGCGACCCTTGGGAGGAAGCAACTGCAGGAACTCCGAACGAGATCTCCGATTCGGTGATCGAGGCGTAGGACGAAAAAACGGTTGTATCAGACATGGTTACTTAAATTCGAAATTCCTTGTACTAAATTACAAAATGTATAAATTATTATGAATTTTGAAACTGAGCTGTTGATGTTAGCTCTAAGAAACTCGTTGTTATACTGATCCTTCTACAAATCATCCGAACGGTACCGGACTTTTAAATTTGACATTTCAAGTCATGGACTACTATTAGTCCTAAATTTTAATAAACCTTTTACATCCAATGTTTTATTGAAAAGTATAGGTGTGATGGGCTCAGGGATGAATAAGTTCTTGAAAATAGACGATTTTTAAAGGACTATAGAGCGTTTTTGAATTTAATGAGGAATTACGTATTGCGAAATAAATAAATAAGATATTAGAAGGCTAAAAGCCAACAGACTGGCCAAACGGATTAAATACATGTCTCTGTACAATACGATTGTACCTCGATGATGTTTTGGACAAGTGTAGCAAAAAAGAAAGGCTTTCCATAATAAAAATGGAAATTATGGTAAAACCATCCCATATAAAAAAATGGCATGTAGCAGTTACCAAATCTTTGGAATATGCATCCAACGTTGAAATCTTCGATTTTATACATATTTGTGTTTCTACGGCTTCTCCTCCTGGCACCTCACACCACGCAACAAGCTCGCACTTGGGTGTAAGGTGCAGATATACAAGTCCATATTAGCGCCAAGTCTTTTCTACGGACTCCAGGTTTATGGTATCGCTGCAAAAACCAACCTGAACCAAATCCGGGTTTTGCAAGCGAAAACTATTCGAAGGATCTGTGGAGCTCCGTGGTTTATGCGAACCAGAGACATCGAACGAGATCTCAACGTGCCTAAAATCGGAGACAAGATGTAGGAACTTGCTCGGAAATACATGGAACGACTAAATGAGCACCCCAACAGCCTAGCAAAAAAACTTGGTACCGCTGCCAGCAGGAACGCTGATCCAAGTAATCGAGTCAAGAGAAGACTGAAAAGACACCACCCTCAAGACCTACCAAACCGGATCTTGACCTAGCCACTTCGTCATCCTCGACATAAACATAAATAAAAATAATATATAATAAAAAAACAATTTAATCACTTCTTGCCCTAAGTAACGCTTAGACTAAGTATTCTTTAAAAATTGTTTGGGGATTTTTATTATCGAAATCAGTAGATCATACGAGGTTTTATTTTTAGATTTAAGAAATGATTGAAATAAATGTATTCAGTGGCGGATTTAAGGAAAAAGGCCCAGTTGGCAAAATTTTTGCAGGGTACATTGAAGGGTATTTTAAAGGTTACAGCCCAGAAAATTTGACAAAAAATCTTAAAAATATTTTGTTTCCAGATTTTGATGCAGATTTATGAAGAATCGATCCACAAATCGTTTAAGGTATTCCGTTCAAGAATCGGATGAATATTTCCTAAGATATGGCCTACGCAGTGGGTGATATGGGGCTCCCCATGCATTTTGCACATTTTGAAGGGGACAGTCCAGAAAATTTGACAAAAAATCTTAAAAATATTTTGTTCCCAGATTTTGAGGCAAATTTGTGGAAAAGAAATCGAAGGTGTAACTTTCAGCTCGAGGGGCCCTGATAGCCCTTCGTCGGGGGGGGCCCAGTGGGCAAGCGCGCCTTTGCCCACCTGTTAAATCCGCCACTGAATGTATTGTATTAGTTTGATATTATATTATATAATATATATATAGTATCTATATTATATTATAGTAAAACAATTTTTTCTTCAATTAAATTTGAGTTTTTAATCAAATTTTCTTTTAATGTCATGGCTAGGTAGCCTGTAGGTAGGTAGGTAGCATTTAATGAAGTTTGGTTCGTGTTCTTCTTACATTAAGAACGTGTAGTAGTAAATGCTAAATACCTATAATACCAAAACATTTTAATACCCATTATTCAATAAAGTTTCGAGCTTGGGAGTTTGGGAAAAACGCGTTTAAAAAAAAACGCGTTTGGTATGGAATAGAAAATTGTTTCCTTAGGTCCTCTATCATTAAAAGTAATTGCATTTTTTTGTGAAATAAGTCTAGTAAAGTTCTGTCACATGTCGTACTTTCGGAGCAAGAGCTTTGTGAAACAAACTTTCATTCACAGCTTCCTTGTTCGAGGAAACTTCAGACCCTCTCTATGAAAAATTAACCTTTTTTTTAATTCATAGCCAACTTTAATGAACATTTAAAACTAATAAAGAAATCAATCAATAGATCACTAGATCTCTTCAGTAAAATTATCGAGAATGAATTTCCAAAAAGAATTCTTAAGGGATTCTAATACCTGAGGACCTTCGAAGAAATAAAACGCAACTATGAAAATAAATAAGCAAATGAAATAGATACATCTCATAAAGATGCTCTCCTCTTCATTGGCTTCCAAGAGTACCCGGGTCTTCCATCTCTCCTCGAAGCCGCTCTGTTTATAGCGTTCACGTAGCTCAAGGACGTGGCGGATCAGCTCATTATCTACACCATTGATTTGAATGTGGCCGGATTTGGAGTTCTCTTTCTTCGCTTTCTGTGTGGACCTCATCTTTACCTCAGTCTTTACCTCAATCAAAGGTGCATTGGAGTCGACCTTGTCCACCGACTTCAGTTTGCCAGTCCCCGTCCGAGCAATGGGACCCGGATTTTTCTTCGCTCTTCGGACACCTTTCTCATTCTTCTCCTGGCTGGGAATCTTCGTGGAAGTCGGCAAGATTTCTTTTTTCTCGGCAATAGGTTTTGGTTCAGTTCGTTTGAACTGAAACGACTCCAGTACTTTGGAGAACTTCTTAAGGCACTTTAAGGTTTCGAAATGAATTTCCCTAATTTCTTCTCGATTGTCCTCCAGATTCTTGAGGAAAATATCCTCCTTGGCAGTGGTCTTATTACACCTCTTCTCTTTCTTCGCCTTCTGTGTGGACCCGCTCTCTACCTCATTTAGTATCCCAATCGAAAGTTGTCCTGTCTCCGTCCGAGCAATGGGGATCGAGGGTTCGGGCTGTGGTCGTTTAATACTGACCCTCCGTCTTTTCTTTTCTCTTCGGACTTCATTCTCATTCTTCCCCTCGCTGGGGATCTTTGATGAAATCTGTGGAATGGGTTTTCCAGTCCTTGCAAACTTAATCAACTGCAGTATTTCGCAGTTATCCTCAACGCTCTTTATAAATTTCAAAAGGCCTTCAATGATTTCTTTTGAATTTTCCACCAGATCCTTGAGTAAAATATCCTCCTTGGCAGTGGTCCACATCTTATTACACATCTGCAAGTGCAGTTTCGAAGCTGTGGAACATTTGGATGGAGGAGGTGAATACCAAATTATTTATATGGGTGTATCAGAACTCACTTGGGTCCGAGGCTAACAGATTCTTCTCAGAGTCGAGTATTCTGGGATGGATTGAAGTCAAGTGGCTGGGTAGTGCCTGGGCTCTGGGTAGAATAGCCGTGTTCATCTCAGAGCTGACCCTTCTTCTGCGGAGGTATGTTGATACCTCGGAACGAGCCAGAACCTCCTCAGAGTTGAACTTTCTCGGGTGGAGTGGAGGCGAGTCAGTCAGGGCTATAGAGTCCGGAGTCCGGTCATTCTCAGAGTTGACCTTTGTGGGTAGAATCGCTGAAGAGTCCAAAGAGCCAGGGCTCATCTCAGAGTGGAACTTTCTGGAGTGGCTTGGTGAAAAGCCAGACAGAGCTAAAATCGTCTCTGCGTTGACTCTTGTGGGATGAGGGAGTGGGCCCATTGGCGGTGAGTGGGGCCCATCCGTTAATACTGTATCCATGTCAGTGTCGACTTTTCTGGGAGAGATTGGTACGAACCAGAAGGAGTTTGGAACCTTCTCAGCTTCACCCTGACTTGAAGAGATTGATGGGAACTCTAATGTCTCTTCATCAATGGCAGACTTGTCCGCTGTCATGCCCAAGGATACTTCTTGATCAAAAATCTTGTATGAAGCTAGATCTGGCCCGCCATCCTTCGCCATGTTGTCCTTCACCTTGTAGAAGTTCTGAAAGCTCATTTTGAAAAGGTCTCGGTACTTCTTGTCTACCTTTATGATTTCCATTTTGTTTTTGGCAAAGAAGGTTTTCTTAGTTTCTTTTAATTTATACCGAGCAGAATTCTTAACTTTTACCATTATGAAAAATATAATAAATTTTTCTCTAAAAAATATATTCGTAGTGAGAGGCTCTGAGAGCGTTATTGAAATGTGATGTTTGAGATGCAGGTACATATATTTTTGAAAACTAAAGCCTAAGCCTGCTTTTTATACCTTTTTATATCCTTGTGAATATTATAAAACTTTTCAGTGAGGGTTTTCGAATTTTACAGATTATTTTAATTCGCATCTTCAGTTTCCAAGGTGTGCGACCCCTCTATAAAAATACATTTGACCGCTAAGCTCCGGGAAGCTGCACTCGGTCTCCTGGAGGACCACCGACAATGCAGCACTTTCGAATGACTTTCCTGCAAGCCTGAATATTTTTCCTGCAATGCGGAATAATCTTTTTTCAGCTGGGCTTAAAGGAGAACCCTTCTTGAACTATCTGAACAATGGCCTAACTATTAGACACCAAAGAGAAGCACATTGGTCCACCTGCTTCTCCGATTGATAAGAGACTGTGGAATTGAAAATTAAATTAGTTTTTGATATGAAAACACTCCAAACGGCTATTTCTCACAGAGATCAGGACCCCGGCCAGGATCATTTCCTAATTGTGTGTTTGAAATAAACTTTTGTCTTTGAGAGTTACTGGGAGAACTCCAACGGATGATCCAAGACCCGTGGCTCCAAACCTTTTGAATCTTCCTCGATCTTGATCTTGGCCTCGAGCATGAGCTGATAAGATGGGAGTGCCGTCTATTGAATTGGGACTATCTATCTGTATTGGGCGCACATCTTTTAAAAGGTCCAAATATTCTACCCACAGAGTGCATATTGGTGACTTATCCGAATAATGTCTTGTATAATTTGACTAGTTTTTCGTAAATATACATTATGTATACGTATGTATAGATATAAACTCAAGAAAATAGTTTTCAAATGCATTCAAAATAGAGACAAATGGAGATTCTTTGGAATTTCAATTTAAAATGTGTGTTTAAATTTATTAACTAAATAAATATTAATACAAGATATTACAGAGCTTGTTAACAGTGGTTAACAAGTGGTTTTTAGCAAAAAAAGCTGTAACAAGGAAAAAAATTCTTAAAAAGAGAGGAATCCCTGGGGGAAAAATTATTAAAACAGATGAATTTAAATGTTCTTAAAATGTTGAGATACGTTTTATGAACCCTATAGGAAACAGTCGGAAGGGACCAACATGATAAAATATGTACACATCATAGGACGCCTTGGAGTACTCCAACGCAGTCTTTATCGATATGCAACAAGCTTTCGATAAGGTATGGCATGATGGCCTCCATATTTGGAAAAAACGAGAGTTAAAGGTTAAAGTTAGGATTACACATTCAAATAACAACATAATGAGAGCAGCAGTTCCGCAGGGCAGCGTACTTGGACCGTTGCTCTATTCGTTGTATACTGCTGATATACCCAGCCCCAACAATCAACATATGATAGCTCCCTCCAAAGCTCTTATTGCGACCTATGCAGATGACTATGCAGTCATCTACAACTCCGGGTGTCGCCATGAAGCAGCTAATGGGCTGCAGGGGTATCTTAAATCTCTTGTAGCTTGGTGCAAACGGTGGAATTTGAAGATTAATCCGCTGAAAACAACGAGCTACTGTTTCACACTGAAGAGGAAAATAATGAATACGCCTTTAACTAGAGGGAGTCACTCTGGAGCAGCCTTTACAAGCGAAATATCTTGGCATTACCCTGGAAAAGCGCCTTGTCTTTGGGCCACATCTTAAAGCCACGGCTGAGGACCCAGCCACTGCGTTGGCTTATAAATAGAAAGAGCAAAATCCCTCTTAGATGCGGTATATGTGCTTTGTATCTTGCCAAATTGGCTTTATGGAATGCAGATTTGGGGGATCGCAGCCAAATCCAATTATAAACGAATCCAGGTGTTGCAGAACCGGATACTAAGAAATATAACAGACTGCCCCTGGTATGTGCGCGGGACCACTCTTCATGATGATTTAAAGTTACATACTGTAGAAGACCTGGTTGGTAGGAACCTTTTTTGAGCCTTTTGAGACACCGTAGCCTACTTTGTAGAAACCTTCTTCCAGCTATACCTTTAAGACCTTAAACAGCAAGGCTTTGTCAAAACAATTAAGAGCCAATAAGGCTTCCATACCCCATGAAGTAATCCTCATATTTGTATTGAGGTTTGGTTTATTTTTTCATTTTCTATCCATGTGTTGTTGAGGTAAATTTATACTGTACGGGTTCTTCACTTAATAAACCAAAAAAAAAAAAAAAAAACTAACGATTTAGTAGGGAAGCAGACTAAAAAGTCTATAACTCTTCTAAGTCCGTTGGGCTGATTTTTTATCTAAAGATGTAGATTAGCCATGAAAACAGTTTGGCATCAAAATATTTTCAAAAAACAATAATTCTGGGAGAATAAAACAAACATTATTTTTTTATAAATAATTAAATTTTTGTTTCAAGCTAAAACTTTTATTTAAATATTATATTACTAGGAACTACGGGTCTGCATCTCAACAATCCTACCAAATAAATGTTTTATATAAACAAAAAAAAGTAAAAAATATTTAAAATAAATAATATATTTTTGTATAATATTACGTTTGTTGAAAAAAAAAGTTTTTTTTTTATATTTATGGTAAAATTGAATAAATTGAATTTACGAATATAAGGAGGACTATCCATTATCCATAACTATTCGAGATGATCCATAGTTCCAAATAAGAAAAAATTATTCAAAATTAAAAATAAAATTAAATAAGAAACAATAAATAAAATAAAAAAAGGCCTGAAGAAAGGCGCTAGAGCAACATAAGCAGGAGTCCTTTGGAACTCTCCAGAAATAGGCAACGAATTAGTATGCATCGAGACAAGTCCAGAAACGTCTTTAAGTTTCTCTAATGACCATGAAGATGTCCAACAATCCAACAAAAAAGCGGTATCAGCAGTAATTTGCAACAAAAAGATGGAACCCTCTCAAACGAACGATAAAAGGAAGTCCAATAGCTCTCCAGTAACTGAAGTTAGAATGCCGGAAGTCGTCGTTGATCTTCTAAGCTCTTAGCTCAAATAAAAAATAAAATTAGATAAAAAAACAATAAATAAAATAAAAAATAAGAACAAAAATAAGAAAAGCAGAAGCACAAGTGTCTGAATTAAAAAAAAAAAAAGGAGCTGAGCTCTTAACTGCCTTGAAGGCAACAAGAAACTGATTCTGGTCGGAACAGAACCTCCTTATATACCAAAAATGTCCAAAATCCTCTCAAGGCCTACTCGATCAGCAAAAGGTGTGCAACACTGCTTTGAATGTCAGTGACGTGAGCCCTTTGCAACACTGGTCTATGTTTCATTGACTGACGTACTCAAAATAAATTTTAAAGCACAAGTTTTAGTGCACTACGATTTGATGTCCTTCTTATTTAAGTTACATTTTGCAACTCATGCTCAAATCCCATCGAAGCATCATTAATTTGTCCAACACCTACGTTTCCACCAAGCGCCAAAATTAAAAAAATTATAGTTCCGGTGGACTTTCTTTCGGCCTTTTTTTTATTTCTGGGAATCTTTTGAAATCGAATTCTAAATTCGAACTCCACAGAGATCGCTGTGCCAGGTTCTCTGGCACTTTCAGAATAAGTATGTGGACTTCCATACTTACATAGTATATGTAAGTATACAAACCAAAAAGCCTTTCTAGACTTTCTAGGGTGGACTAAGGAAACGACTACCTTAACTCACTAAGGGTTACTAACTAAAAAATTTAATAATATAACTAATTAAATAATATTAACTAATAAATTTAATAATTCATCATATTACCCACTAAAAACATCATATTTTGTTGAAATTGAAAATTTTTATTATAATTGCCAAACATTATATTCCAAAACTCTGCTAGTTCTGGAAAGCGCTGGCCATCCTTCGGTGAAAGCCAAATACCGGGGGATCAAGTCGCACACTCATAACACATCGCATTTGACAATGCTTGAATTTAGAAAACATTTAGCGAATTCATGAATTCATTGAAGGAATGGTCCCATCCCTCTAGATCAGTAACGGCGTCGATGACAGAGCCCCATGGCAGAGCTAGGCTCTGGACGGTGTCATCCTTGTCGACCATCTTTCCCTGGTAGTAGAATCGAAAGTTCCCAATGGGCAGGTCCGCTTCTAGGCTGTAGGCACCCATCAATTTGGCCAGTTTCACGTCACTCTTGATCCGGAACCGATAAATGGTCTCCTTATCAGCCAGCACCTTGATGTAAACGCGATCGTCTCCTTCCATGGAAGCTTTCTTGGTTTCCGTGTTGGGCTTCACCTGGTTGGGCTGGACAGTATCTAACGCGGCCCGCCCGGATATTTCCTTCTCTTCGTCGTCGTCCTTTACGAAAGATACCTCCGGTGCCGCATTCTCAGGAACTACGGCTGCGACGGGGCTCTGGGTTTCCTTGGCATTCTGCGACCCTTGGGAGGAAGCAACTGTAGACACTCCGAACGAGATCTCCGATTCGGTGATCGAGGCGTTGGACGAAAAAACGGTTGTATCAGACATGGTTACTTGAATTCGAAATTCCTTGTACTAAATTGCAAAATGTATAAATTATTATGAATTTTGAAACTGAGCTGTGATGTTAGCTCTAAGAAACTCGTTGTTATACTGATCCTTCTACAAATCATCCGAACGGTACCGGACTTTTAAATTTGACATTTCAAGTCATGGACTACTATTAGTCCCAAATTTTAATAAACCTTTTACATCCAATGATGAATAAGTTCTTGAAAATAGACGATTTTTAAAGGACTATAGAGCGTTTTTGAATGTAATAAGGAATTACGTATTGCGAAATAAATAAATAAGAAATTTGAAGGCTAAATAGCTAATAGACAGATCAAATACGGCCCAACCAGTGGCGGATTTAACAGGTGGGCAAAGGCGCGCTTGCCCACTGGGCCCCCCCGACGAAAGGCTTTCAGGGCCCCTCG